TCGGAGCGCTAAGGTGATCGTATCTCTCCCACTTCAACACGGACCTTACGACTGATGTAACGCTTCCATCACTTTGTACAACGGGACACAGGTGTCGATCATCCTAATTATTAGTATCATATCTCCCTTCTATTAATACAATGGCTGGCATAGCTTCATCTCATATCGCATTCATGAGCGAAAACATTTACAGCGTTGTCCCTGATAAAAATACATGCTGACGCTCAATCACCAAAAACCTGAAGCGAATATGGTACATGTATTGATCTAAACAAAATAGAGATGTAACGCCCTGGATAGTGGCTAGATGTAACGTAATGGCTAAAGTGGCAAGATAGAACACCAATCTGTGCATGGGGTCACAACGACTAAGGAATCTTACAATCAAAACTGAGGGTTGGTCTATCGGGCAAGTAGCATATATCCTGTCCTTGAGGGAGTAATTTTGTTATACCATGGCGTGTTAGCTGATATAGGCGGAGGTCCATGACATTTACAACGGGTATAGTGCAGATAGTGCGAGGATACACAGACAATGTCCAGACACAATTATTGAAGACAAACCACGTCAGGTCTGACACACACCCTAAAATGGGGGTAGTGATGGTGTGTGCGTGGGTGCGTCCGTACGTGCGTCCGTTTGTCTGTCTACGTGCGTGCGTGCGCACAATTATTGAAGACGTGCGTCCACCCTTTGTCTGTCTACGTGCGTGCGTCCGTGCGTGTGCAGACACAATTATTGAAGACAAACCACGTCAGGTCTGACACACACCCTAAAATGGGGGTAGTGATGATGTGTGTGTGCGTGTGCGTGCGTGCGTCCGTTTGTCTGTCTACGTGCGTGTGCAGACACAATTATAGAAGACAAACCACGTCAGGTCTGACACACACCCTAAAATGGGGGTAGTGATGGTGTGTATGTGCGTGTGTTTGTCTGTCTGCGTGCGTGTGCACTAGTGGCCCAATATTGTAAGGGGCCACATTTCGCAGTTAAGTGGTGGGTCTCTTGTTGACGCCAGAAACCTACGATCATGGATTCAAATGGTGGTTGGCCCTGACTGTGAGTCAGGTTTGTCTGCACCATATCCGCCATTGTGGCTTCACCAAAGTGGTAAACGTCTGGGACTTGCAGTATTAAGCGGAATAAAGTGACATTACTGTAATATTCTTCAAAGCGGCGCTAAATCCAGGTTACTCCCTCATTCTGATTTCTAATGGAATTAGATCACCTCACATTGATCTTATTTTGACCAATCAGAATCATGCATTCCTCAGCGTCATGTTAAAATGAAAGGTAAGTCATAGCAGTCTGTTAACGTCAAAGACATTGATTACCCCAGCAATTGTCACAGATATTTTCTTAGATAAAGAATATACCCATTCAGAAAATACTCTACGTGGGTGTAAATAAAGTTCAGTTAGGTAACTGAATTAGTTAACGCCGATAGGCTCCTGACTAACGTGATATAAGATGGTCGTATAAACAACATCCTACAACAGCACGTGATTAGTACAATACATTAAATACAGCAGGGACCGACAACCCCGAGGGCCAAGTAGCTCATGACGTCAATACAGCAACATCTGCGGTATTACACGTATCAGGGACAAATCAAACATAATCAAATCTCAACAATACACGCTTGCAGGGCATGGAGCAGGGGTTTGTGTGTGCTGTGGGCTCCCCTGCCATGGGCTATTGATCAGTACAGAAGCCAGAGCGAGGTCTATATCGTTACTGCATCAGCCAGAGACAAATTGATGGTCCACGGATGGAGGGGAGGCTGTCGTTCGTCTGTGATCGGGGTCAGACTTTCCCGTCAGATTGGTAATAAACAGATTAAATATTGAACCCCGGGAAATCTGACCAGTGATTGATTTCTGAAGATCGTCTCTTTTTGGTGTGGATGTGACTGATAAGCAACTCTGTACGTGGTATTGCGGACTCTCATACCACGTATTGGTTGTCCGCGTAAGACCCTATGACAGCTATTTGGAAATCACCAACACGGCACTGACTCTTGTCTGTCTCACATCTCCTGAATTGTTTTCCCTTCCTGAAACGCTAAAGCCATTAATGAAGGTAGCGGTGGGGTAGCCTAGTGGTCAAAGCGTTCGCTCGTCACGCCGAAACCCCGGGTTCGATTCTCCACATGTTTACAATGCGTGAAGCCCTTTTCTGGTGTCTCCCGCCGTGATATTGCTGTAATATTGCTAAAAGCGGATTAAAACTAAACTCACTCACTCCCTAAATAAAACAAGTCGAGACTTCCCTCAGGCACCGGTGTGAATGTAGTATCTCACTGAGGCTCATTGTCAGTTTGCAAGGTTTCTATCAAAACTCATATATTGAGTGACTAACACGAGTGAATGGTTTTAAATAAGAGGCATTACTTAAAGTGAACCCAATAAGAATGATGGTTTTATTTACAGCTGAACCATTCTGGAATACATTTCCATACTAACAGTACTGTTAGAACTTGCTGCTTAGACTTTCCGGTCTTGCACGTCAAGGTCATGTATATAATGGTTTCAGTCATGTCCTTAACTATGATCACTCCATCTTTATCCGCCTCCATTTGTCCTCCTCTGTCCAGTCAGTTAGCATTTCCTTATTCATCAGATTTAAAAAGAAATGTTTAAAACTGCAAAGTCTATGACTTTTATTGTTGCAGTCGAATGCCACTTAACAGGAGAAACTTGCATGAACTTTAGATATGTAAGACAACGACACCCAGGGCCCTTATTCTCGAAACGTTCGTAGCCCTAAGAATTCTTAACTTTGATCGTAGCCAATGTGTTAAGAATGGGCTTAAGAAGTTCGTAGGGCTACGAACGTTTCGAGAATAGCTAGCCAGGTCCTTATTGACACTGTAGTCTAGCTGGAATCACGGGCCATTAGAGTTCGACTACCTAGGTTTAGCTGTATATGTGTCGATCTCTCTTAGGAGAACCTCGTGACCCTTCACTGACAGTTAACCCGTAAAGATTCGGGTTAGAACTGGTCTTCAGCAACTGGGTGCAGCGTTAAACTACACACAACAAATCGCTGACAGTGTGATGTTACCTTGTTTTGTTCGAGTAATGAAATTATTCAAGAAATGTCAGTCGGGAGGAAACGCCATAATTGGGTTTATCCGTATGGGGAACAGAACCCGCGTCTTCACCGTGACCAGGGAATGCTTTAACAACTAGACTACCCCACCGCCTGGTAGTTACCTATTCCCTCACAGAGATGATTCTACAGTGCACACAAATCTATAGCTAGTATATAACATTTGCATGAAATCAATACAGTGTATTTTATTCCAAGTATATTACATATATACATATATATCGTATTCATGCACGACTTGCAAGTTGCACGATTTCATCTTGGCAGGTTCAGTACAGCTGTGTTTCCTTTCTGTCGATGTCTTATGTCCTGTCGACGATTTTCCCAAAATGTAATGGTTCTATTTTCCAAAACTATTTCCTCTGGTGTAATGAGCTAAGCGCTATGATGGCACAGCCCTATGTAACGTCCTTCACACAACCCCCTACCACTAACAAACACTTCACCCGACGAAATGTCTTCCGCATGAATCACGACCTTATTTTACGGAATTACAGCCTTAAAGAGGCTGACGTAAGCACGATACGAAATTCAAGGATACAGACACGATGTTGTGGGTTTTGCTGATAACGCTTCGCCAAGCTGCCTTGTAAGAAACCTGGTGGTTTTCAGGCTGCTCAGAAACAAACAAGCCGTTCGTTTCCGATATGAATCCGAGCTCTTGTTGCCAGTGGTCGCTATGAGCGGGCCAGCCTATCCTATGTCCACTCACTTCGCTAACGTGGTCAGTATGAACCGGACATCTATCTGATCGTCGGAATATCACGCAGTGTAAGTATTCAATTTATGCAAAGGCTGCGAAATAACAGTGCGTGCTATATTAAGCCGTATCGCACTCTCGTGGGGCCTTGCGTCATTGACGGGATGTTAAATTGTGTCATATTTTGCAGTTAACGTAGGAAAACGACATTATGTGTGCTTTTCCAGTTTTTAGACAGTTGATAGACAGCGCAGAGTTGCTTGGCCACTAAAGTGTACATACTGTTAACATTTCATGTCTTGTCGAAATGTAACACCGCCAATTTGATCACATTCACGAGGAACACGTTGATCGACATCAGAACCTGTAGTTGAATTCGTTACAGCACCATGAGCTAATGTTGTAATTACCCAGAATTAAAGCGTTTCCAGATTCGTATAAAAATGTCAGTTTCTCGTTACGCGAAGTTACAGGATTTAAAGTCGCTTGTCTCGATAAACTAGTCTTCCACCGAACCAACGCCTGTACCTGTTCATACCTATAGATCTAATTACAGGTTAATGGATTTTATTTAATTTATAGAATATTTGACAGCAAAAGATGTCTTATATCGTTTACTATCACACGACAGGGTGCCGAAAATGTTTATATATCTCTTTAACCTAACCTCAAATGTTTACCTCTATAACATATATCGTATGGCTATGTAAACTAACCCGGGAGTCTCGGCCCCGACTGGCGGAGTTACAGGTACAGCGCGGTTTCTGTGCCTTCAAGAAAATAAGTCTTCGCAAGTGATTTGACAGAAGCAATTGTTGCAATACATTTCTAAGTTGATCTTTTGTACCTCTCCAAAAAGGATTTGACTTGAAACGTGAGTGCAGATGCTTCATAAATAGGTTGTAGTCATGCGGTAAAAATGGTTCCGCTTAGTCTTGGAGCAGCCTAGTGCTATCACTCAACGCCATATGATAACGGCAAGCTTTTGTAGGGGAATCTTCCCGCCTGTGAGCGACGATACCTTACCGATGCCAGATATTTTTAGACACGTACCGATAGCTAGCTCTTCTCTGGGACACATTTGTCAGGGCGAAGTGACGTAGCATCTGTGTCACGTGACCGCGCACCTGCATCAGTCACGTGATACCACATCTGGATTTACGAATGTTATGTTTATCGTAAGGTGATGTCAGATCATTTGCACATTTGGTTTTGCTTGTATAAAATACATGCTTGGTTTTGAGACGAGGAGATTGACCCTGTTACGGGGGTTTGTTTTCTGCTTTTTCCGGAGAACTTGGCTGTTGGAAAATACTAGGTTCGGATTGAAATAACACGTGTTAGGGAGTATTACGTTAAGTTAAATACAGCCCAGTGTGTACGACAGTCTGCCACAGAGCGTTACAGGTGAGTAAGTGAAGTTCACCCGTGTCTATTAACGTATACATGTTATACACCTGAGAAATGTTGAGCACCGCTTTTAATATATTTCCATATAGAATATTGTAAACTGTTTAAATTTTTTGAGAATCATTTGCATGCATGTATAATTAATGCGGCATACTCGTATGGAATTATGAGGCCGAAATAGATTAGATTTTGTAACACTTCAATGGCAGTAAATACTTTACAAGTTAGTTGAGTATCGTTTCAAATGCATCCTCATCTCATGCTTCCACCTCATATGTACATCTAGGTGAAAGATAGTGTTCAGATACCACGTTTTCTTCAGATATCGGTCAGAGATAATGTGACTGCAATGTTTCCAAACTGTTTATAGTGTTCAGGTACCACTTTTGTCCTCAGGTATCTTTCAGAGATTAATGTCGATTGCAATATTTCCAAACTGTTTATAGTGTTCAGGTACCACGTTTTCCTCAGATATTGGTAAGAGATTAATGCAGTTTGTTTATAGTGTTCAGGTACCACGTTTTCCTCAGGTATCGTTCAGAGATTAATGTCGATTGCAATGTTTCCAAACTTTTTATAGTGTTCAGGTACCACGTTTTCCTCAGATATCGGTCAGAGATTAATGTCATATATAATGTTTCCAAACTGTTTGTAGTAGTTCTGGATGTGTGGTAATGAAGGCGTGATCCCTAGCATTTTTCCAGATGTATTTTTGCAATCGTTTCCGTTCGGGCAAGTAGTCCCACAGATGGACACCTAGCAAGATATATCCTACAAACTTGACGTTTTCCTGTCACGCTATTCAAGACTTTGCTCTTTATTGGTTTTCTATTAAAGGCCTGGTTAAGAGGTGACCTCATTAGCAATTGCTTAGAAATCAAGTCAGATATATTCCCAGCTTCCAAACATGCTGCCCTGGGTCTGGCTTCACAAACGTAAAGCGATCTTGGCTCTAAGATTCTTTTAAGCCGGTGTTACTATGTGCGATCATATTAGCGCTAAAATCGCTCTGTGGAGTGAATGGGGACGGTGGGATAACCGAGGCCCGGGTTCGATTCCCCACATGGGTACAATGTTTGAACCCCGTTTCTGGTGTCCCCCGTCGTGATATTGCTGGAATATTGCGAACAGCTGTGTACAACCATATTCACTCACTCACTCACTCACTCACTCACTCGCTGTGGAGTGAATGAGTTAGTTTGGTGTAAGGCCATTTGAACAGTATTTCAGTTGTATCACAGAGTGTTTGAGCCAGGAAACCCGGAATTGTCATAGACGTTTACGGCCTTCTTCAAAGCCACGGGCATGGGTATGGTACCACTTAATTATAGATTATTTAACGATTCGAACTCACGATCTGGTACGTTAGTGGGAGGTAAGTCTACACAACGAATTCCCGACACATTTGACTTCTTCGCCACTCACCGGGAACGAGGTAACAATATTCCACAAGGAGCCAAATTCAGACAATAAAGTTAATGTTTCACTGACAGTGGGGAAGTACCATATACGACTAGCAAAATTCAATGCATCTTCTTAATCATATAAACGTTGGTATGTAGTATACTTCTTAATAGACTATGAGCGCCAAACGTAAAGGTGGTCGCGAAACAGAGGGGTGAAACATGATTAATTTTCAGTTGAATTAACATAATCGTGACATGACACTACATATGACAACATTGTTGATTACGTGTTTCTACCACCAGATGGAGCTGTTGCTGGGGAGTATCCAGGTGACGCTGAGGCACAACCTCGGCATCCTCCTGTTGTGTGACGTCCTCATCATCTTCCTCAACCTCATGGTCATCGTGCTCATCTTCATGTCGGAGAGGCTTAGGAACTCCACCAAGCACATGCTGGTTGTCAATCTGGCCTTTGCGGACCTTCTAATAGGGGTCATAGTGATACCACTATATGCAGACTATGGGGAGAAGGGGGAGTGGCAGTTCCCATGTACCCTGAGGAATGCCCTGACTGTGCTACAGATGAACATCCTTCCGTCTGTAACCACGTTATGTGTGTTTGTCATCAATATGGACTATGTGTTCGCGATGGGGTGCTATTTTTACACAAACGGTAAGACAAAGTACGTGATGTCTGGTTCAATGGGTCTGTTGCCCTGGGTGATATCAGGAGCGCTTCTGGTACCTCTATACTTCATAGCAACAGAGCCAGGCCGACCATATGACGTCCTACCCTGCGTCAGAAGGTACAAGGAAGACGTCACGGCGCTGCTACTCATAGCGTTCTCGTTCTTTCCCCAGAGTTTTATCATCATGGTGACTGGAATTGCTGCTGTCATTGGATACCTCATCAAACGACGTTCCACGGGTCTGGACATGTTTGGCGAGAGAATACACTCTCCAGTGGACATCAGTTTGGTCAGTTTTATCACCATCCTGTTCTATACTCCCTACTTCTGTCTGGCTGTTCCCGTTAACAGAATAAGCTGCAGCTCGTCATCAGAATGCGAAGTCCTTCGTACCATTGGTATCATAGCTAGCTGGTTGTTTGTCATCAAATCATTTGTCGTGCCATTGTGTTGGTTCTGTTCTAGAGACTTTAGGACCGCGTTTAGGAATATTTGCTGTTGGTGTTGCTGCTAATGACCTCATCTTTGTCGACTGACACCTGTAACGGGGACTATGGCTGACCCTTTCAGACGGATCGGTACCATCACATGACTGTGAACGTCAAGCTGATACTGGCCAATAATATACCGATGTTGTGGCTTAACAGTGTGGGCCAGTGTTGTATCGTCTGCTGACACTATTGGCGTTCGGAAGTTGCTTTATTGAACTGAAATTCGACCAACGTTTGACAAACGCACTGCAGCAAGATCGACATTTGTTTTTTCTTCATCTTAAAGAACTTATGTAACCGAAGTCAGCTTATGGATTAAGTGTAAAGAACAGAAACACGCACCTGACCTAGTCTGCAGGATGCAGTGACTGTACTGCTCGCCCACTCGTGGATAGGAGGAACTGGTGGAACTTGATAAGGTTTACACAGACAAATATGGCATAGTGACAACGCAGCCAAACCGGACCTTGTTTGTTTTATTAGACGCGGAAAAGAATTAATCATTGTATGGAACGTCCGTTTCCTTATGCAAGATGTTTGTGTTGTGAGTATGCACCTTGTATTTTCCCTTTCTGTGTGTGTTATATTGGACGAAATGCTATGTCTGCAGTTAAATAACCGACGTTAAATTGGATGACAAACATATAGTATTTTGTTTTTGTAAAGCCTGAGCACATTTACTTTTGGCTTTCTTTCTGGAACATATTTTGTGCCACGCAGCCTGGGCTATTACAAACAACATATGAGAAATCAGGGCCCCAATCCAGAAACCGTTCGTAACGTTACGACCTGTCGTAACTATGACGTTTACAATAGGCTTTGAGGAATCGGGGCCCAGGCATTTGTAGACCTAAGCGATGTACTACTGATGGGGCATGATGAGAGACACCAGTTATGTAACGCTGACGGACGGCGGCAATCGACCCGTCCGAGGCTAACTCCAGCTGCTTGACGTTGTCTGATGGTAGGAGACGGGGCACATGTGACAAGCGATATACTCCGCGTGTCTGCACTGTTATTTCAGGTTAATTGAGTGTGGTCGTGTAATCGGAACGAGACAAGTCCTACAGGATTGGATGAGACCGTTCATCTGAGGAGAGTGCACATACGTGATGGAGACAGTCGTTAGACCCATTCACACATGCGTCTTGTAGTACACAATTTGTGTGACCAACTAGTTGTACTGTGTGAACTGGACGTTCTTTCATGGAATATGCTTGTTTATGATCCAGACTTTGACCACATGGACTTAAATCAATGCTACTTCCACAGAAAACTGCTGGTTGTGTATAAGATTTTAATTCAAGTATGTAGTCGTTCGCTTGTCTAATACAGTACTCACTGACAAAATAACTGGACACAATAAAGAACATGTACACTCTTAAAAACTGAAATTGTTAATGAACCAAAATCCAAAAACAAAACGAATTAAATTAAAGAAGTGGGCCACCTGAGTAGTTAAAGGGTTATCTCCCTTTTCCTATCTGCCAGCTTTGGGTTATATTTATTCCTGAAAGTTGTTATCTCATGGGAGATGTCTTTATTTTTTTAACATTTAAAAACATTGCACTATCGGTGGGTCCGTACACCACGCAATAATGAGTTGTCGTATACAGAGCGCCGTGTAGTCGGAGTATCACGTAAGGTATGCACTGGATCTAGCTATAACAAATGATGACATTGCAAGTCTAGCTGTTGTCGTGAAAGTAAGGATACTGTAAGGTTAACGTCAGAACTGGTGTCCGCAACATACTACACAAATGTTGATAGGGACACTGAGCTATTCATACTGTGACAAAACTCCGAGGGTGGATATGTCACACACGGTGGAATGGAAAGGAGTGAAATTGTTTCCTAAGGGACAGTACAGAATTGTCCTTTGCACATTTGTAGTCAAGGTGTAGATGGTGTAACTGGTGATAGACAGGCTGAGACGTGTGATGATGTTGAACTACGAGACTATTGTACGTAATAGAAGAACTTATAGGATAAAAGTGTTTGCGATTATTCTGCTGTGACTGCCAGTTGGCCTTTGTTGCCACCCAAGACTGTTCAGGTATATTGCAAGACTGTGCGGGCGGAGGAGGCACATAACGAGTCCTTGGTGGAATCGACCCTAGCGTGAGTCACTTCCTAGTTGACACCTCAACGTGTCACCCCCTGAGTGTGAACTGAACAAAGTGCTTGACCCGCCGTCGGAGTGTTGTGTGATTGGTGTGATGACATGAAGGAAATAGTTTTAGCAGGTCGTAGACATTGGCAGTATATATGTCAGGAATGCCGGCATGTATCCGTGGTACCGGTTGTTCAGTTTTCAATATATGTAACAATTATGAAGATGAATAATGAAATGTACTAGGGCTGAGACGGGTAACCCGGATACCCGGGACGGGTGGGTAATGAGTTGGACCCGGATACCCTGATAGCAATGTTCGTTGGGCCAACATTGGCCAACGTAGGCCCAATGATGGCCAATGTTGGTCCAACATTGGCCCAACGGACATTGCTATCTGGGTAACCATCTCAATACCCGGACCCGTTATGATCATGTGACTAATAGATTAAACAATGTAATATGTTACTCTTTCATGATTAAATAGAGGATATTATACGAGTGCCCAGGTCATACTATGTTTACGACACGAGTGCCTAAACGTTGGTATTTCCCGAGCGAGAGCGAGGGATCTACCGATGTTTAGGCACGAGTGTCGTAACATAGTATGATATGGGCACGAACATAATATTTTATTTATTACCTAAGTCGTGAAATTGAGGAAAATAAACCCAAATCTACTTTCAAACACAGGCTGGCTACCCGCCGTCGCCGCATGTAGGACGCAACGTCATAGAAGAAACGTGACGTCATAGCATTGTTCATGACGTCATGTCACCATGACAAAGGGGATATTTTGCCCTAGGGCATCGTTTGAAAAATATGAACCCCGATATTTTCCCCGTCGTAGGTAATAAATAGAGAATACTACACGAGGTCTCATTACATACGAATTATACGAAACGAGTGTCCTTCCTATGGTATCTGACCGAGCGAAAGCGAGGTCAGATGACACAGGAAGGTCACGAGTTTCGTGGTCAGATAACACAGAAAGGTCACGAGTTTCGTATAATTCGTATGTAATGAGACCGAGTGTGGTATTTTATTTATTACCCACGTCTTACATGCATTAAATTGACAAAATAGCGTATTTTTGTTAATTTTTTGGTTTCAAACCGAAACCGGTTTCATAAAGAGGTTGCGGAAGAGTTTTGTACTGTAGTACAATATTTGCATGACGTCACAATGTAATGACGTCACTGCCTTGGTAACCGACGTCACGATGCATGTCAGTTGCCATCGCCTCGTACAGCCTCCTACAGTAAACTACTCCGTAGCACCCCGTTTCTTGGTTTGCAGTTGCTTCATTCGGCTAACATAACTGGTGGAAACATTGCGTTTACGTTTTTCGACGGATATAATGTCTCAGATCGACTTACAATTAAACAGCGACACGGCAACGTTCGCGATGTTTACATTCCCACAATGCATTTAAGTTGTAGAATGAATGAATTCACGTGTTTGCTATGAATGAAAAAATAGTTACGTCAGAATGTGACCTAATTGAGAGGTCATCGGTTATCCAATCAAATCGTTAGAATCTCAGGTCAAGTCGTTACGACACAGGTCAACGCGATACGACACTCGCGTGACGTACGAGATTAGTATGCAACTACCCATACGTTGACCACGTGGGTAATAAAAGGTATTCTCTTTGAATATTTAGACATAATTGACAGTCTCCTATTTTGAATATAATACATGGTTAAGATATTGAAAAACTCGAAATGTTAGCCTCCGAGCTGAAGAATATATTGCCCTTTCTTACAAATTTGATGTCAGGAATTAACACAACGGGTATCAGGGTAGGGCAGGGTAATAGGGGTGGGGTACCCGGGTAGAAAATTTGGACCCGTCAAAGCCCTAAAATGCACGAAGTACACACATCAAACTCTTTTTACTTGAAGACACACAAAAACCACACGTTGTGTATCAATCAGAAACGGGAAATTAACGCTTCTACGGAGTATTCCTGTTAACTTTCAATTGAAGCATGTTTCAAGTTGACATTATGGTTCTTGCTGCAAGTGATGTGTTCTGTTCATAAATCAAATCTATATCGCTGTTGTGTAAAATCTTCCTGTATGTTTTTCTCATTTACAGAATAAGTGTACAATCTTTGGATTGCGGCACCGTGTTTTCACATCTTGAATTAGTTTTTACCCTGCAACTCCCCATACTTGGAATGAGAACTATTTGTTGTTGGTGCCAAGCATTTCATGTCAGACTTTCTGTCTACATCTTATCCCATGCTTCTACATGTGATATAACGACCCGTGTGGTAAGAGATAGGAAAGTGCAAATTCCGTGTGAAACGTTGACAAATGGATTTGACCTTTTCATTTCAAGGCACACTCGAATTTGCTCGGAGGATATTTTGGAAAAATATTTATCATTTGACGAGGGTTAAACTTGTCGACGTTGAAACTGCTCTGTATGATCACAGTTAAAAAACAAAGGTCACGACAAGTGTTTGAAGTATGTTTTGTCAGTCGTTGAAAACATAGCTTTCTAAAATAGCATTCTGGTTTTCGGCAAACGTTCCCACCTTTGATAGTGCCGACATTTCGGTTATATATAACTGTTGTTTATTGTTTGTCTTAAGAACACGCATTTTGATCCTGCCAGTTAATAGAAATATCATGAAGACTTCCATAAAATGAAAATTCATAAATGCATCTCAGATTCACTAAAGACTCTCTATAATATGTGTCTTTTAACATCTTTTATCAAAACGCCAAGTTATCGGGACCACGGGAATCGTATCCAGCTATATCGTTAGACGTACCCGAGTTCACCGAACATAGGATAGAGTCGAGATATCACGATTCTTCCGGGGCCATATATATAATATAGTCACATCATCTAAAGGATACATTGCGCTCAAGGAGTTCGATTTACGTCGTAGCTCGCTCGATTATTTTGCTCTACAATTTACAAGAATAGGGTCCATCCAAAATACATCGAACTACACGTACTTCGAGAGTACCGAACTTTTACCATCATAACTGTAAAACACTGTCGGGACTATGATGCTGAGCTTACAAGGTTGATCTCTATGTGGTCTTGGTCAGCAATTCACATGGATAAGAATGCCTGCATTGGCGGTACCTAAAATCTTTAACTTCACTGGTTATTTTCCATTTCACATAACGAAAGAATAAATCTCAACGCTTTCCTAACTGACCCGAAAAGGTTTCACTGACCTCAGCCTCAAATATTGTTGCTATACTTTTGTGTTTAGTATTAACTCCGTCCGCTAGGCAACTAAATGGCGTTCGTGACTGGTAATTTGCGGTTCGACCGAACTTCTGAAGACCTCTTGCAAAGGTTTAAAAAGATGGACAACTGGGAAATAATTTATTTTCAGTATAACAAACAGCTAAATATGTAGGGATTACGTAGGGACCAAAACTAAAGATTCATGGATGTATTCAAGGCATACATCACAGTTAGTAAATAGGAAAATACTCCCAACAGAAACTGATGACGAACATTCTCAATGTTATTACTCAGCATCCCAGAAACAACACTCTTCTAAAAACGTTCTTCCGACATTATCATGACCAAACCATGGAACCGGCCATGGAGATAGGAGATATAGCATGACACGTGACGCAGCATTATCCTCATAATACACCCAAGCCTATTCGTTATTGTAACTTATTTAAATATATATATGTAGACATAATATTCATGTAACATACTTATACTGTAGATATCCACTGTATATTTGTTTGTAAGTTTTGTACTACTTTTTGAAATTAATAAAACTACGTATTCTTATTTTGTTGCGTTTTTGTCCATTGGACATTGTGGAATGTGAGCGTGACGGACCAGACTGCAGCATGTCAACCGACGCCATGGTCACATCCCTGCCAACACTCACGCCTATCGGGGCCTGCAGGGTAGCCTAGCGCTTAAGCGTTGGCTCGTCACGCCTAAGACACGGGTTCGATTCCCATATGGGTACATTGTGTGGAGCCCATTTCTGGTGTTCCCCGTTAAACCATGGATTACTCACTCACCCTTATGGCTTTTATTACTACTGCCACGCTCTCACGAGAATACATAAATCTCACGCCAAACTGGTTTCATACGAATAAACAATTAAGAATCCGCTTCTCGAATCCTGACCACTTAAAATCACACACATAGGTCTGAATACATCGTTTTCTGTGACTCTTCTCAGAAGGGAATGTGCAATTATGCGTTGCCTTGAAGGTTCTACCCTGAATCGGCCGGGGACTGCGGCCCTTGGATCCCGGCATCTCAAGCTTGTTTCCTCTATTGGAATTGGAGTGAGTGAGTTAATACGCCGCTTTTAGCAACATTCCAGCACTATTACGGCGGGGGACACCAGAAATGGGCTTCATACATTGTACCCATATGGGGAATCGAACCCAGGTCTTCCGCGCGACGAGCGAACGCTTTAACCACTAGGCTACACCACCGCCTATTGGAATTGGAAGATCTGACCCCAATTTCTCGAAACAAACTTAAGTTTTTACTCAAATTTCAAACTGAGTTTGACAATTTGAAACAGCTGAATTTTTAACTCAATTGCAGTTTTAAAATATAAAAGCCCAAACAACTTAAGGAATCTAGCCACCAAAGTCAAACAGTCTACTAAGTTTGAGTTTAACATCGATTTCAGTTCATTCTGGGAAATACATTTTCCTGCGTTTTCTCAAATTTGAGTAAAAACTCTCTAACTTCAGTCACAACTCAGACTTAATTTTTTTTGAGAAATCGGGGCCTGGAGTCTGACTCTTTGGTGAGGAGTGGGCTTTTAACCGTTAACTGACCTATTACAGCACTATCAGTTATGATCCTTACATCACTATAGACATCCACAATCAGTCCTTACATCACTATAGACATCTACAATCAGTCCTTACATCACTATAGACATCCACAATCAGTCCTGTTAGAACATCGCCAGTATTCGTTATCTTTATTAAAACAATATATGATATCCTTATTACATTATAATTGAGCCTTTTTCACAATGATATCGGCAACATTAGTGAGCCTTATCACAGCACTAGAGGCATCAATCAAGCCTTATTACTGCAAATTCAGCATTGTCCATGAGCCTTATTCCAGTGCTGTCGGCATTATCAACCAGCTGTATTACAACACTATCGGCAATAACACTGACCCTTATTCCTGCAACACAAACTAAACATAAGTAATAATCATCTGTTGCTACAATAGCAGCAATCTCCTTTCGGACCCAAACATCATCTGAGCGAGTGAGTTTAGTTTTACACCAATTTTAGCAATATTCCAGCAATATCACAGCGGGGAACACCAGAAATGGGCATCACACATTTTACCCATGAGTGGAATTGAACTGGGTCTTTGGCAAGAGGAGCGAACGCTTTAACCACTAGGCTACCACACTGCCCTAAACAAACATCATCTGAAAAACAACAGATGATGCTTACACTGATATAATTCTTACACAAAAACCAAATACATGAAACAGAATATTTGCATTGTTTATTTTTGCACATACCCCAGTACATTGAGAAACATTCAAGGGGTTAAATCACATTAGCATAAATGTAACAGTCTTAATACATGCTGGTGTTGCTGAGCAACACAAACAAATTCTTCTCTAAATTTTGATAATGATTAGTATCTCATTTATGCTCATATATACAATTTTATATAATTTTGGGACAAAATGCTTTTGTGTAGAATCCTAGAAGCACCAAGCTGTCTTGCAAATGCAATGCCATGATTGTAAGTTGAAAATTAGTCAGTATACACATCAATTATAATTAAAACCTCTGTATCATTATATCAGGTATATGTCTATATAATTGCCCATTATTTTGCAGTCTTTAGGCTTCTGAGCACTGTCATACTGAAACCAGTAATTTTAACCATGAATATTCAGAACACAACAACAAAACCAAAATTAATAGTTTGGTCATCTGCTCCTGAAGATTATTTATGAGAAAAAATTTGACTTATTTTCTCAGGCATGATACAAGTGTTGCACCAAGGGCCAGCATCCATGTTTCAGTGGTCTGCCAAATGTGCAGTGAATTAGCTTGAACACAGGTTGATCTCACACACTGAAATCAGTACAATCCCTGCAGTGTTTCACATTTCAAAGATTGAGCAGATTCAACAACTATCATGATCAAATGACATGATCCTCACATTATTCTTCATTTGTAGTATGATACATTATTTCTGTAAAGGATCCCCACATAATTCTATATTTGTAGTATGATTCAGTATCTCTGTAAAGGATTCCCACATAATTCCTCATTTGTAGTATGATTCAGTATCTCTGTAAAGGATCCCCACATAATTCTATATTTGTAGTATGATACATTATTTCTGTAAAGGATCCCCACATAATTCTATATTTGTAGTATGATTCAGTATCTCTGTAAAGGATTCCCACATAATTCCTCATTTGTAGTATGATACAGTATCTCTGTAAAGGATTCCCACATAATTCATTTGTAGTATGATACAGTATCACTGTAAAGGATCTCCACATAATTCTTCATTTGTAGTATGATTCAGTATTACTTCACAGGAACAAAATGAGGCTGATAAGAGTTCTTTAAGTCAGGACATGCTTCCATGGGACACAAATGCCCATCTTTTACCCCTTCTTACATGTTAAGCAAACTTCTTAACTGGAATGTTTTGCCACAAAAGGACACATTACTCCTCTGCTTTTTCTTCAAATAAATTGTATGTCACAAAAAGTATACTACCCATCAAAAGTTTAGACTCACATTAAGCACTCACTATATGTAATGCATATACATGTATATATATATAGTTACATTGAAGATGAATTTCTCGACTAACTTGGGGGAACCAACTGCAAACCTTATGCAGATGAATTGCACGAAGATCATGCATCAAGTTGGTAAAAGGCATGTGCAAATATCGTGCATGTGAACAGCTGCGTTTTAGTGTAAAGTTTTGTTAAGAATTCGCCAATTTTCACCATTTATTGAACTCATGACAATATTCTTTTCAATGTTACAAATGTGTTTTACAATACATCAGTTCATGTGTAAACAGTACCTTTAAACAGTATGGAATATTTTGCAAAATCGAGTTTAGAATAGTTGACTGAAGTAAGTGGCTACATTTACACTAATGAGTCTCAACTTTTGATGGGTAATATATATGAAATACTTTCACCCCTTAAAATTCAATCCATGAGAAAGACATTTGTGTACATCATGATCTATCACTTTTATATCCAATGAGAAATGCCCTACTATCTTTATAAGATCAATATTACTGTTCCTAATGATGCAACCTGAAATCCTGAGAAGAAAATATATCTACTCCATCCATACTAAATGGTTCTGAATACACTGTGATGGCAGTGTACAAGAGACAGTGTTGTACATACAGTATGTTCCTGGAGGAATGCTGTTGAGACAAGATACCATTCCACATATGAAGGAATATGTGCATGGTTCTCTTCATAAAGAGACATGTTTGATGGTCAGGTAAACCAACAAACAATTTGTGTGCTAAAGGTTGAAGAGAAAAACTCCCATAAGCACATTAGTTCATCAGCCTCTCTAAGACAGATGACAATGTGGACACAATTCATGGATAACAGTGAGTGAGTGAGTATAGTTTTACACTACTTTTAGCAATATTCCAGCAATCTCATGGCAGACACCTGAAATGGGCTTCACACATTGTACCCACATGGGGAATTGAACCCAGATCTTCGGCATAACGAGCGAACGTGTTAACCAATAGGCTACCCCACCACCCATTATGGATAACAACTTACATCATGCTATTATATCAACATTTCAGTATACCAAAAACACATATAAGAAGTTCTTATCCATAACTTGTGTCTACTCTTCTCTCCTGCAAATTAATTAACTCAAGCATAACTGTTTCTATTGTACTTGATCCTGCATCTTTGCCAACACACCAGAATCACCACCTCAGTAAACCAAGAAGCACTTTGCATTGTTACTTTCATAGACATTTTGATTTGCTACATCCAGTAATTACACAATCTCACTTTAATAATACATTCTAGCAATGTCTCAGAAGGGGCACCAAACACGGACTTTACATATTGAACCCATGCAGGAATCAAACCCAGGCCATCGACGTGACAAATGAATGCTTTAACCACCCAGCTAATTAGGGACAGTGCTGGGATGTCAGTTCTGGATAATGTCCGCAAGATGAAAACCATGAGCAATGAAGCATCATTTTTGTATAAACAAATTGCAAATCAATACATCCTATAATTCTATGACACAAGATACAATAAGCTGTATTAAGTCAGGTTTTACACCTCTCTTAGCAGTAATTCTGTATCCATGGTCGGGATATCATATATGTAAAACACCTACTTAATATAACAAGAGCTGAAGTTGTATTTCAGTGCCATCCAGAATGGACTGTGGTGAGTAGGTTTTAGGCCTCTTTAGCAATATTAATGCATTTCTTGGTTGGGATATCATATATGTAAAACAACTACTTAAAATAACAAGAGTTGAGGGGTTTCTTCAAAGCCACCCAGAATGTTTTGATTTTTGTCAAGTCCCCTGCCCCCTACATGCACTGAAGGATGAACCTTTCTTGCACTATACGTGGTAAAAGATTTCCTGGGTCCTACTGATCAGAAAGCGAGCAAGGGAATTGGGTGCTATGCTGCTTTCTACCAGCCAAATTTCAGTTATATTACAGCTGGGGCTCCACTATTGGGCTTCACTCAAAGTATCCCTGAGGGGAATCAAACCCAGGCCTTTGGCATGACAAGTAAACACTTTAACCACAAGGCTACCTTGTGTCCATAGAAAGTAAATATGTGACAAGTAAAGGTTCATTGTCATCACAGTAGCCACATCAATAACAGAGTAATATAAATGAAAATAATGAAACAGATTTTTATATTACAGACTAAATTACTTTAAAATTAAGCTGAAATAAATAACTGTTTTGTTCTAATCTGTCAAAGATTACTTTTTGCCGAGAGAGCTCTTTATATCTTTGAGCAGCATTGTCCCAATCACCATCTTCTCACAATTGACAGTCAGTGTTGCTTTGGATTCCTTAACTTTCACTGTCACCAACACAAGTGTGCCATCACCTAATGTTTTGGCCGAAAATCTGTAGATGTTTTCCTCTGACGACGGTACTTGTAGCACATTTGCAGCTGTGTGAACACAGGAACAAATGGCCTTGGATGATTGGTTCTTCTCAGGAAGTTCTGTACTTCCACTGTTTTCATTCATTCCTCCAAGTTTACCTGCAACACACAATGTTGACCATAATCAGGTTGTTGATCGTACATTACTACAAGGCTTCACAGATGAAATGGACGAAAATCAAAGAGGATGTCACTGAGTGAGATTTTGTGTTACTTTCATCCTCGATAATCTCCAGGGTATATGTTCCGATAAATCTCCACTATACCCTGAATGCATCTACGGCCCGATGATTTTATTACCTCCCTTAGCTGACTTTTTATCCAATCAGGTGTCTACACTGGGAAGTTGAGCATACCAATCACAACTCACTTTTGCTTCTTTTACCTAACCGATTAAACTTGGCAACATAATTGTTGCAGAGGTACTCTGAAAGAGGTAGAAAGAGTTCTTGCATATATTTTTTAAGGTTTCAGACCTGTCAATTTGTCTGCATGATTCCCCCCTAAATCTGAGTCGCACTGTGAAAAAACCTTCGCGGCTGTGACCGCTATCTTTGTTGACACTGGTAAGCTCGGTTGTAATGGCGGCTTAGCTGATTGGCTACTGTGAGAATGCGGAGCCAGCAAAGGGAGGTAATGAGCCATAGATGCATCCAGGGTACTAGTGGAGATTTTATCGGAACGTATCAGATTATCGAGGATGTGTTACTTCATGTAAGAACTGAATTATGCTACATATGGCCATCAAGCTACCAGGAATTAGGATTGTCCTGGGTGAACGAATGTCATTATGGTGATGGTGCTGGGTATTCATTCACTAGGGGCAGTTAATCTATAATTCCCAGGTTTTGAATATTTTATTCTATGTATTACTGACAGACACTGAGAGAAGATAAAAACAAACAGCATGAAATGACAACCCAGCAGAAGAAAGTTCACTGAAGGCAGCCTCCTGTTCAGATGATGTAATCAATGTGACCTTGTGAACAATTCATGACCTCACATTGTACTTTTCTCAACAATGAAACACTGTGCATTATTGGTTTGGTGTGGTTGTTGTTTAATGTCACACTGACCTAAATGGCAGAGTCAGGACCAGACAATCCAGTGATCAACATCATGAGCATCGATCTTCACAATTGGGATATGATGACATGTGTCAACCAAGTCAGTGAGTCTGACCACTCGATCCCATTAGTTACCTCTTACTACAAGCATGGGTTGCCGAAGATTCTAACCCGGATCTTCACAAATGCACTGTGCATGACTGACTGACTGACTGACTGAGTTTGGTTTTACGCCGCTTTTAGCAATATTCCAGCAACATCACGGCGGGGGACACCAGAAATGGGTTTCACACATTGTACCCATGTGGGGATTCGAACCCGGGTCTTCGGCGTGACAAGTCAACGCTTTAACCACTAGGCTACCCCACCGCCCGCACTGTGCATGAAGAGTGAGTACCAGTTGTACTGGTTTTGTATGACACATGTTCCAAAAGAAATCATTACATCATTGCATAGAGTCACTTGTCAAAAACATCTCTTCGAGGGCGTCACCATTTTCTCAATAGGTTGTGTTACAGGCATATCTCCAAACATACAGAACTGAGATTTTAATCCTACATTCATCCATCAAAACTGCCCACTTAAAGAACCAATAAAACAAAGATGCAGCAGGTTTGATTCCAGTGAAATGTTACCTTGTTGTGTTCTGAAGTCACTTTCATTCATTGTGTGGGGCTGTACCAACTCCCCAACAGGGGCGGAGATATTCACGCTGTATTTCTGATCTTGGGTACAAAGGTCAAACGTTGCTGGCTGCGTCGTGTCATTGTAGTTGATGCCGAACAAAACAGATGTAGAGGACCCTGCTCCGAGTGAAGCTGTAATACAAACAGAAGTTGTTGTCAAAGTGGAGTTCATGTACATGTGTGCATGTATCCACTTGAGCTTGTAATGACTAAAGCCAGTTTCAAAGTGCTAGCCAACAGAGATGTCATGCCAACATGTGACATGGACACCCTACTCAAACACAGTATACTGGCAACCTGTCTTTATTCCAAACCTAAATGCTGAGAGCCAGACAGGGTAAAAAGTACCATCTATTTAAGTCTTGTGGCTCCCCAGACCACCAAGTTGGCACAAGCATTAAATACTGTTTGTATGTTACAACACAATTTTCTATCAAATCCAGGATAAACACAGTTTGAAAAGATCAGTTGGTATCCTTGTTTCAAAACTTTTTGGTGTTTACTTTACTGATACTTTCAGGCACTGAATACAAAACACCGTATAATTGTTACATTTTTTTGGCTCGGACCAAATCTCAGTCCAAAACATTACTGTTTGTGTTGTATTTTCTATCAGCTTCTTATAACATTTTCAGTAATACCAACAGGCAGCTTACCTATTTCTGGGAACTCCTGTACTTCCATTCCCGGTTGTAGTTTCTGGAAACAAGATGTTCATTTTCACTGAAGAATTATAAGCATTAGACATCACAGCAAAATCTTCCAGAAGTGTACACGAAGAGCGTGATGGAAACTACCAGTTGTCAGACTGTCGTAACCCCAAATATAACATATGTTCCAAGATTTACAGTGCTTCAAAATCCCAGATTCAACAGCAAAGATCTTTAAGTCATGAAGCATATTATACCCTTAACACAAATGTCATCCAGTCCTCAGCCTCTGCATGTTTCCAGGCTTGCATTATTGTCCGGGGTAGTTGTTAAGTCACATAAATATTCTTATACATTCAAGTACACACACCGCTGTGTACAAGTTGAAGGGACCTACAAAAATACTTGGAGTTATCTGAGGTTGGGCAAAACCACAATAGCATGACTAAGTAAGGAAAATGCAGGGACCTGGTTCTTACTTCGAAACAACTGTATGTTGACCACAGCAGTGGTTGACTTTACACCAAAGTCTGTCTGTGGTTAGTGTTATTTTTTGCCTTGCTATCAAATCTGACCTGATTCGGTTCACACAAATAGCACCATTGCCTATTGACAGTGTTAAGATGACAAATAAACTTCTTCAATGTTGGCTAAGTTACCAGATGGACAACAGGGCAACACATATACACCCCATGTCATGGTACTGTTGACCTGTTTAATGGAGACTGATTTGATTTTCATAAAGTAAAACTGATATCAAGATCGGTAATCTGCTGACTGCTTTTTATCAAAATCTGTTCATAACAAAACTTTTATTAACATTGTATATCATCACTGACCAATCTCTAATGGCATTTGGTTATATAAGCTAACCAAAGTCTACAACACACAAATCAAGACTGGTCTTGAAAGAGTGAGTACGTAAAGATTGAGCGCTTACATGGAATGAAACCCATGTTTTTTGGTGTGACAAGCTGACACTTTCATGATTAGGCTAGCTTACCATTGGACTTTGATTCTACTTAGTGCCCCTGCACTTGTAATGTAAGACACTTAGGGGAATACAATGTGACCAGACAGACTGTATGACAATGTATATTTGTTCTTACCTTATCACCCATGCTGATGTTTGTTATAGGTGCATCTCCACTGTTGGTGAGAGTCAGCTCAATGGACACCATCTTTGGTGAGAAGATTGATATTGACCTGGTGTACTTGTACTCCACACTGAGGCCATTGCCTTTGATTCTGTTGAGGAGCTCGTAGGACTTGGAAGGGACTATGACTGGCTGGGGCTGTACAAACATCAAGTATGTCAGACATGAGGTAGGACTTGGAAGGGACTATGACTGGCTAGGGCTGTACAAACATCAAGTATGTCAGACATGAGGTAGGACTTGGAATAGACTGTGACTGGCTAGGGCTGTACAAACATCAAGTGTGTCAGACATGAGGTAGGACTTGGAAGGGACTATGACTGGCTGGGGCTGTACAAACATCAAGTTTGTCAAACATGAGATTGGACTCCTCCTCAGACTCAGCCTCCATGTATTACCATGGTAGTGAGGTCAATGGGAGTTATCATTATCATGGATGATGATGTTACATTCTGTACACTGGACGACAGACATGGTCATCATGGTAGTGAGGATGGTAACTATTTTCACCACTGTCAATTGTACACTGATAACAGTTCACTAATGAAACTAAACTTAATCTTTAAATGACCTTGTTGAGAAAGAGAAAGTAGATCTGAGAGGATGGTTGTATGATCAGCCTGGTGATGGCGGTTGTAGAGGAGGGAGACTAGTAATTTATTATGGTAGTTAATCTCCTGATACTTACCATAGCGACATTAGTAGGCGAGGCTCTATCACTGATGGACAGATTGCTCATGCTGGACGCCATGGTAGGGGTCAGCATATCACCAGGGGTCACCGGGGTACTGCCTGTGCCCAGCGATCCCACTGAAAATAACAACAGTGACAGTTAATAGTTAATACACATCCAAGCAGAGGTGGCCATTTCTGTTCACTGTGTGTGTTAGTGGATGGGAGTGTGAGTGAGTGAGTGAGTGAGTGAGTGAGTGAGTGAGTGAGTGAGTGAGTGAGTGAGTGAGTGAGTGAGAGAGAGAGAGAGAGAGAGAGAGAGAGAGAGAGAGAGAGAGAGAGAGGGAGGGAGAGAGGAGGGAGAGGGAGAGAGAGGAGGGAGAAAGAGAGAGAGGGGGGGAGGAGGGAGGAGGGAGAGAGAGAGAGAGAGAGATATTGGGTACCTGTGTTCGAAATTATGCTTGAAAGACAAGGTTTCCTTGTCATAGTCTTCATGTCTAAATACAAATGTTTAACAGGCCTAAGTGAGTTAGTGAGTTTAGTTTTACGCTGCTTTTAGCAATATTCCAGCAATATCAGGGCAGGGGACACCAGAAATGGGGTTCACACATAGTATCCATGTGGGGAATCGAACCACGGGTCTTCGGCATGACGAGCAAACGCTTTAACCACTAGGCTGCCCCACCATCCCTTAACAGACCTAAGATTCACATACAAGAGGGGCAAACATCAAGGATCTTCTTAATATATGCTTCTGTGTTATTTAGGCCCATGATCAGCCCAGGAATGACTAGATGGGCTCCTCCTATGAGAGATCTGGTAACATCACACTGTACAATTTCCAATGAGCTTAAGTAACAAGAGGTAAACACTGAACAATGTCATCTATGTAAAACTGTGGTACTGTGAGGTGACCAATCTCGTCAGTAGTGTAACAAGAGGTAAACACTGAACAATGTGATCTATGTAAAACTGTGGTACTGTGAGGTGACCAATCTCGTCAGTAGTGTAACAAGAGGTAAACACTGAACAATGTGATCTATGTAAAACTGTGGTACTGTGAGGTGACCAATCTCGTCAGTAGTGTAACAAGAGGTAAACACTGAACAATGTGATCTATGTAAAACTGTGGTACTGTGAGGTGACCAATCTCGTCAGTAGTGTAACAAGAGGTGTAAACACTGAACAATGTGATCTATGTAAAACTGTGGTACTGTGGAGGTGACCAATCTCGGTCAGTAGTGTAACAAAGAGAGTAAACACTGAACAATGTGATCTATGTAAAACTGTGGTACTGTGAGGTGACCAATCTCGTCAGTAGTGTAACAAGAGGTAAACACTGAACAATGTCATCTATGTAAAACTGTGGTACTGTGAGGTGACCAATCTCGTCAGTAGTGTAACAAGAAGAGGTAAACACTGAACAATGTGATCTATGTAAAACTGTGGTACTGTGGGGTGACCAATCTCGTCAGTAGTGTAACAAAGAGGTAAACACTGAACAATCTCATCTATGTAAAACTGTGGTAAACTGTGGTACTGTGAGGTGACCAATCTCGTCAGTAGTGTAACAAGAGGTAAACACTGAACAATGTGATCTATGTAAAACTGTGGTACTGTGAGGTGACCAATCTCCAGTAGTCAGTAGTGTAACAAAACTGTGGTACTGTGGAGGTAAACTCGGTCACTGAACAATGTGATCTATGTAAAACTGTGGTACTGTGAGGTGACCAATCTAAGTCAGTAGTGTAACAAGAGAGGTAAACACTGAACAATGTGATCTATGTAAAACTGTGGTACTGTGGGGTGACCAATCTCAGTAGTGTAACAAAGAGGTAAACACTGAACAATGTGATCTATGTAAAACTGTGGTACTGTGAGGTGACCAATCTAGTCAGTAGTGTAACAAGAGGTAAACACTGAACAATGTGATCTATGTAAAACTGTGGTACTGTGAGGTGACCAATCACTGAACAATGTGATCTATGTAAAACTGTCAGTAGTGTAACAAGAGGTAAACACTGAACAATGTGATCTATGTAAAACTGTGTGTGGTACTGTGAGGTGACCAATCTGCGTCAGTAGTGTAACAAGAGGTAAACACTGAACAATGTGATCTATGTAAAACTGTGGTACTGTGAGGTGACCAATCTCGTCCAGTAGTGTAACAAAGAGGTAAACACTGAACAATGTGATCTATGTAAAACTGTGGTACTGTGAGGTGACCAATCTACGTCAGTAGTGTAACAAAGAGGTAAACACTGAACAATGTGATCTATGTAAAACTGTGGTACTGTGAGGTGACCAATCTCGTCAGTAGTGTAACAAGAGGTAAACACTGAACTATTAATGTGATCTATGTAAAACTGTGGTGTGAACCAATCTCGTCAGTAGTGTAACAAAGAGTAAACACTGAACAATGTGATCTATGTAAAACTGTGGTACTGTGAGGTGACCAATCTGCGTCAGTAGTGTAACAAGAGGTAAACACTGAACAATGTGATCTATGTAAAACTGTGGTACTGTGAGGTGACCAATCTGCGTCAGTAGTGTAACAAGAGGTAAACACTGAACAATGTGATCTATGTAAAACTGTGGTACTGTGAGGTGACCAATCTCGTCCAGTAGTGTAACAAAGAGGTAAACACTGAACAATGTGATCTATGTAAAACTGTGGTACTGTGGTGGTGACCAATCTAGTCAGTAGTGTAACAAGAGGTAAACACTGAACAATGTGATCTATGTAAAACTGTGGTACTGTGAGGTGACCAATCTACAATGTGTCCAGTAGTGTAACAAGAGGTAAACACTGAACAATGTGATCTATGTAAAACTGTGGTACTGTGAGGTGACCCATCTCGTCCAGTAGTGTAACAAGAGGTAAACACTGAACAATGTGATCTATGTAAAACTGTGGTACTGTGAGGTGACCAATCTGCGTCAGTAGTGTAACAAGAGGTAAACACTGAACTATGTGATCTATGTAAAACTGTGGTACTGTGAGGTGACCAATCCGTCAGTAGTGTAACAAGAGGTAAACACTGAACAATGTGATCTATGTAAAACTGTGTGGTACTGTGAGGTGACCAAATCTAAGTCAGTAGTGTAACAAGAGGTAAACACTGAACAATGTGATCTATATGTAAAACTGTGGTACTGTGGGAGGTGACCAATCTCGTCAGTAGTGTAACAAGAGGTAAACACTGAACAATGTGATCTATGTAAAACTGTGGTACTGTGAGGTGACGTCAGTAGTGTAACAAGAGGTAAACACTGAACAATGTGATCTATGTAAAACTGTGGTACTGTGGGGTGACCAATCTACCGTCAGTAGTGTAACAAAAGGTAAACACTGAACAATGTGATCTATGTAAAACTGTGGTACTGTGAGGGTGACCAATCTGATCCGTAGTGTAACAAGAGGTAAACACTGAACAATGTGATCTATGTAAAACTGTGGTACTGTGAGGTGACCAATCTGCGTCAGTAGTGTAACAAGAGGTAAACACTGAACAATGTGATCTATGTAAAACTGTGGTACTGTGAGGGTGACCAATCTGCGTCCAGTAGTGTAACAAAGAGGTAAACACTGAACAATGTGATCTATGTAAAACTGTGGTACTGTGGAGGTGACCAATCTTGTCAGTAGTGTAACAAGAGGTAAACAGAACAATGTGATCAAGATGTAAAACTGTGGTACTGTGGGGTGACCGATCTCCGTCAGTAGTGTAACAAAGAGGTAAACACTGAACAATGTGATCTATGTAAAACTGTGGTACTGTGAGGTGACCAATCTCGTCAGTAGTGTAACAAGAGGTAAACACTGAACAATGTGATCTATGTAAAACTGTGGTACTGTGAGGTGACCAATCTCGTCAGTAGTGTAACAAGAGGTAAACACTGAACAATGTGATCTATGTAAAACTGTGGTACTGTGAGGTGACCAATCTCGTCAGTAGTGTAACAAGAGGTAAACACTGAACAATGTGATCTATGTAAAACTGTGGTACTGTGGGGTGACCAATCTCGTCAGTAGTAGTGTAACAAGAGGTAAACACTGAACAATGTGATCTATGTAAAACTGTGGTACTGTGAGTGACCAATCTCGTCAGTAGTGTAACAAGAGGTAAACACTGAACTATGTGATCTATGTAAAACTGTGGTACTGTGAGGTGACCAATCTACGTCAGTAGTGTAGTGTAACAGAGAGGTAAACACTGAACAATGTGATCTATGTAAAACTGAACTGTGGTACTGTGGGGTGACCAATCTAGTCAGTAGTGTAACAAGAGGTAAACACTGAACAATGTGATCTATGTAAAACTGTGGTACTGTGAGGTGACCGATCTCGTCAGTAGTGTAACAAGAGGTAAACACTGAACAATGTGATCTATGTAAAACTGTGGTACTGTGAGGTGACCAATCTCGTCAGTAGTGTAACAAGAGGTAAACACTGAACAATGTGATCTATGTAAAACTGTGGTACTGTGGGGGTGACCAATCTCGTCAGTAGTGTAACAAAGAGGTAAACACTGAACAATGTGATCTATGTAAAACTGTGGTACTGTGAGGTGACCAATCTAGTAGTCAGTAGTGTAACAAGAGGTAAACACTGAACAATGTGATCTATGTAAAACTGTGGTACTGTGAGGTGACCAATCTTGTCAGTAGTGTAACAAGAGGTAAACACTGAACAATGTGATCTATGTAAAACTGTGGTACTGTGAGGTGACCAATCTCATCATCAGTAGTGTAACAAGAGGTAAACACTGAACAATGTGATCTATGTAAAACTGTGGTACTGTGGGGGTGACCAATCTTGTCAGTAGTGTAACAAGAGGTAAACACTGAACAATGTGATCTATGTAAAACTGTGGTACTGTGAGGTGACCAATCTAGTCAGTAGTGTAACAAGAGGTAAACACTGAACAATGTGATCTATGTAAAACTGTGGTACTGTGAGGGTGACCAATCTCGTCCAGTAGTGTAACAAGAGGTAAACACTGAACAATGTGATCTATGTAAAACTGTGGTACTGTGAGGGTGACCAATCTCGTCAGTAGTGTAACAAGAGGTAAACACTGAACAATGTGATCTATGTAAAACTGTGGTACTGTGAGGTGACCAATCTCGTCAGTAGTGTAACAAGAGGTAAACACTGAACAATGTGATCTATGTAAAACTGTGGTACTGTGAGGTGACCAATCTCGTCAGTAGTGTAACAAAGAGGTAAACACTGAACAATGTGATCTATGTAAAACTGTGGTACTGTGAGGTGACCAATCTCGTCAGTAGTGTAACAAAGAGGTAAACACTGAACAATGTTGATCTATGTAAAACTGTGGTACTGTGAGGTGCCCAATCTAGTCAGTAGTGTAACAAGAAGACAAAGTCATCAATATCCCCCGCAATGGCAAAATACTCTTCATGATTATGTCTCACGAAGTTATGATTATGTCAAATATTTAGGTGTGTATATAGAAATATTTAGGTGTGTATATAGAAAAGTGGAAGGAGAGTATTGAAAGGTTTGCTAAAGTTCTGCTCCAGAAAGCAGCACTATCACCAATTTCAGTCAATCTTGTTGCCATGGAAATGCCAAAAGTTATTTTATTCAGAATTCCAAAACTACCAAAAGGCAACAGTACACCACTAGACCAATCTATGTGCCAAGTTTGGTGAAGAAACATGTGAACGGTTTAAGAGTTCTGTCTCGAAAAGAGCACTACTACTACTTTCAGGCTAAGTCAAACTTGTTGCCATGGAAACGCTAAAAATATTTTATTCAGAATTCCAAAACTACCAAAAAGGCACCAGTACACCACCAGATTCTGATTACTCCATGTACCAAGTTTGGTGAAGAAATATTGAACGGTTTTAGAGTTCTGTCTTGAAAAGAGCACTACCACAATTTCAGGCTAAGCCAAACTTGTTGCCATGGAAACGCCAAAAATATTTTATTCAGAATTCCAAAACTACCAAAAGGCACCAGTACACCACCGTTAGATCTATCTATGCTTGAACAATGTGTTCTATGAAGAAATATTGAACGGTTTTAGAGTTCTGCGTCAGTAGAAAAGAGCACTACCACTAATTTCAGTCTAAGTGGAACTTGTTGCCATGTAAACTGTGAAACGCCAAAAATATTTTATTCAGAATTCCAAACTACCAAAAACTGGCACCTGTACACCAACAGATCTATCCATGTAACAAGTTTGGTGAAGAAATATGTGAACGGTTTTAGAGTTCTGTGAGGTCCGATCTAGAGCAGTAGTGTAACAAGAGGTAAACACTGAACAATGTGATCTATGTAAAACTGTGGTACTGTGAGGTGACCAATCTCGTCAGTAGTGTAACAAGAGGTAAACACTGAACAATGTGATCTATGTAAAACTGTGGTACTGTGAGGTGACCAATCTCGTCAGTAGTGTAACAAGAGGTAAACACTGAACAATGTGATCTATGTAAAACTGTGGTACTGTGAGGTGACCAATCTCGTCAGTAGTGTAACAAGAGGTAAACACTGAACAATGTGATCTATGTAAAACTGTGGTACTGTGAGGTGACCAATCTCGTCAGTAGTGTAACAAGAGGTAAACACTGAACAATGTGATCTATGTAAAACTGTGGTACTGTGAGGTGTGTACACCACTGATCTTGTCTAGTAGTGTAACAAGAGGTAAAAGAGGTAAACACTGAACAATGTGATCTATGTGAAAACAGTGGTACTGTGAGGTGACCAATCTTGTCAGTAGTGTAACAAGAGGTAAACACTGAACAATGTGATCTATGTAAAACTGTGGTACTGTGAGGTGACCAATCTCGAACAATGATCAGTAGTGTAACAAGAGGTAAACACTGAACAATGTGATCTATGTAAAACTGTGGTACTGTGAGGTGACCAATCTTGTCAGTAGTGTAACAAGAGGTAAACACTGAACAATGTGATCTATGTAAAACTGTGGTACTGTGAGGTGACCGATCTCGTCAGTAGTGTAACAAGAGGTAAACACTGAACAATGTGATCTATGTAAAACTGTGGTACTGTGAGGTGACCAATCTCGTCAGTAGTGTACTTACAATCATCCAGGTCCAGAAGAAGATCGGACTCCTTCTTGGATGAAGCTTTTTCTTCTTTCGTCTTTGATTTTTCTGGCTTTGTTTCCTGAAGAAAATGATCATAAAGAGATTACTCTTTGCAAGAAGCATGATGTGGGTGATTACAAAACTGATATTAATATATGGATGACACCTGAAGGAGGTTATAGTGAGTGAGTTGGGTTTTATGCCACTTTTAGCAATATTCCCAGCAATATCACAGTGGGGGAACACCAGAAATGGGTTTCACACATTGTACCCATGTGGGGAATTGAACCCGGGCCTTCGGCGTGATGAGATAGGCTACCCCACCGCCCCGAAGGAGGTTATAAAACTGACAAACTATGACAACATGGAACCCACAAAGCTATCTGATAAATGATATTCCATCTCCTGGAACTAATTCCTTAAAATAATACCAGCATGTTCTGACCATGTAGTGTGCCGCACTGCAGAGCAAACAGTACAAAGGTTCAGAAACTAAACACTTGCACCTTTGTTACTGTAAGTGATCATGAGTGTCACATTGTAACTTACATTATTGATGCTAGATGGCTCATGTGGGTGGAAGCCTAGGGCTGCAATGAATACACTATGTGGCGAATATGATACATCATGAATTTTGGGTAACCAGTAATTATTCAAAAATACAATATTGTAGTTAAGTGATTGATACATGGAGCTATCATGTTGACAGTTTTGATTTGTCACAGCAATAACCAGTACTCATGACACTCAAATTTGGTATGTAATAGTCCCTATAGTCGACAGTACCATGTGCAGCCTTGGCTAACTAACATGACTTACACTTATGCAATGCTAGTACATGTTCCATTCTTGCATATCTCACTTTGGAAAGGACATAAGGGTTCAAGTAAAACATGCTCCCAAAAAATTGTAAATATTTGTTAATATTCGGTTCTGACCAATAATGAATTGAATTCATGAAGGGCTACGGTTCGATTCAGTGAATATGCACAGTGAATCGTTACAGCCTTAGTGGATATTCCACCAACATCATGTTGTGTCATGTCAACCAGTTACTCAGAAATGGGATATACATGCTATCATTACACTTATATAAGTCTGATGTGCTGGGATGCAGTAGTTCCTGGGAATAGTCCTCGACCAGAGCTAGCCATTTCTTCCATCACTATCATTGCAGGCATGGTTCACATCAAGTTTCTGCCACAGATCCCACTTCAAAAGGTACTGATGCCTTACATGTAATGCCAGCATCTGACACATTTACTTACTGTAATCCCTTGGTTCCTCAAGTGGGCAGTTTTGAATGATGAATGCAGGTTTAAAATCTTAGTTCTGTATGTTTGGAGATATGTCTGTCACTAAATCTATTGAGAAAATGGTGACACCCCAGACAAGATGTTTTTGACAAGTGACTCTATGCAATGATTTAATGATTTCTTTTGGAACATGTGTTGTATAAAACCAGAACAACTCAATCTTCATGCACAGTGTTCCTGTGAAGATCCGAGTTAAAATTTGTCTTCAGTAACCCATGCTTGTCGCATGTGGCGACTAAAGGGGTCGGGTGGTCAGGCTCACTGATGTGGTTGACACATGTCACTGGTTCCCAATTGTGAAGATGGATGCTCATGATGTTGATCACTGGATTGTGTGATCCAGACTCGATTATTTACACACTGCTGCCATATAGCTGGAATATTGCTGAGTGCAACTAACTGCATCTACACCGACTCTTCACCCCTGACTCATGTAACTTACCTTCTTAACTGGCTTTTTCTTGACAACAACCTCTTCCTCTGAAGATGATTCCTCTTCTTCACTATCTTCCTCAGAGGATTCCTCTTCCTTGCTGGAGTCTTCCTCCTCACTGTCCTCTTCTTCTTCCTCATCCTCATCGTTCTCACTGTCCTCTTCCTCTTCTGATTCCTCCCCTTCCTCTTCAGAGTCTTCTTCCTCACTGTCATCCGATTGTGATTCTCCATCAGAGTCATCTGCACACAGATTACATTTATCAAACAATCTTGTAAGCATGCTTAAGGAACCACTCATTACACTGGTGATATATAGCAGATATCACAATTATATAAATATGATGATTTTTTCCTAGTTTGCCTGCAAAGGGCACTAAGTTTAGAATTCCAAATAAATCCCTGATAACTGATCTCATCCAGTATAGCTCAATACCTTCATCACTAGATTCTGTTTCTGAGTAGAATGACTTGAGGTCTGCTGTATTCTTCTTCTTCTTGGTGGATGTTTTCTTCTCCGTCCAGATGGGCAACTCCACATTGCGCACAGACGGCTCCGGAGCCTCCTCCGGCCACTCTGGCAGCTCCTGGTACCCGTGGGCACGCGTGTTCAGCAGGTGAGACAGTGTACCCAGCTGGTACTGGTCCCGATCTAGAGAACAATAACACTGAGTGAGTGAGTGGGTGGGAGAGTGAGTGAGTGAGTGAGTGAGTGAGTGAGTGAGTGAGTGAGTGAGTGAGTGAGTGAGAGAGTGAGTGAGTGAGTGAGTGAGTGCAACTCTCAGAATGTCCAGTGTTACATATCACAGTCAAGAAGGAAGGAAATCAAACCCTGTCTCATCGGTGTGATCAAGGAAATTCACAGATACACATATCCTATAAGATATTGCTGCAAAGAAATTGGTTACCATGACAATCACATTACTAAACTAATCTCTCTGTCACTGAAGTTCCTTAGCTGTTGGTTTTACACTCAAGACATAGGTCATAACTGTTTATAAATAGCAGAATGATTTTGACCAGCTAATGTTAATTATATCATATGAAAAGACACACAGATGAGACTCTGTATAGTTATTTAGGACTGACAGAGTTCCCTTACTGCAGTATCCATAGGGAAACAGACTGATTGAGATTTGACTCTCGTAAGTGCTGGGACCTAAATGACAGAAAACACACATAAATGTTGAATTTTGTGCAACATAACATAATCAGACAAAGTGAGACTCACCTTGAAACTTGGAAGCCAGAACTGGAGCTGGTTTAGTAGCAAGGAAGATCTTTTTAGCATATTTGGCTAGTGCACTTGATTTTTCTCCTGGGAGCACGAGTTGTCGCAGGAAGCGAGATCGGTCCCGGATGTCATAGTTCTGATCATACTTGGCCAGATTGAGCACGTACTGACACAGGAGCTTGGTCTGCTTCTGGTTGGTGATGCACAGCTTGGCTGCGAGGTTCAGGATCTGCAGCTTCACGATATCCTCCTGTAAAGCCATGAACAGATACAAAACATGCCCAAGTCTGTGACATACCGCACTAACAACCCTGTCATAATGTACATGAATCAAAATACCACAAAAATTGAAACACTATTCCTTTCCTAAAACACTTGCCTTCAAGTAAATGTACTTATATTTTCCATCTTGCAACTTTCTGTGTACTTTTCCAGTTGTAATAGAAAAGGTACAGATTTTAGCCATCATGGCTCAGCGCAGTAGGAAATACTTATCAGTCCTCTTCTAACTCACTGAGTAAAAATGTTGCTGCATGATCGAAAATGTAAGTTGAGTTGAGTTGAGTTGGACTTTACGTCACACCGGCATTATTCCTGCCATATAGTGACAAGAACAAGTCTGAGGTGAGGTGAGGTGAAATTGGGTTTAACGTCGTGCTTGAGAATATTTCGCTCATATGACGACGTGCATGCGTGTGTATGTGTATGAGCGACTGCTTGTACTAGCCTAGACTGAAGCAGGTTTTATAGTGCTATCCCACTGAGATACCATGCCGCAGTGAAGCATGAATACCCCACTCAGACACGTTATACTGACTCCGAGCCGACCAGTCCTTGATGTACCCATTAATGCCAAGCGCCAGGCAGGGACCAACAAGTACCATATTTTTACATCGTTTGGTATGATGCGTCCGGGGATCAAACCCGCGACCTTCCGCTCTCCAGGTGGACGCTCTAACCACTACACCACGGAGGCGGTCAGAACAAGTCTGAATTCACAAACACTTTAAGTACAAAGTCCAAATGAGAATTATCTTAGAAACATATATATTCATTATTATTTAACAAACAGAAAATGTCAGCACCAAATTAAAAAGCAAGCAATCCATCATCCACATTACACAGCTACAATTTATGGCACAGGTCAACTTCCCTCAGGTAGCTAACAATGAGATGTCTGCTCATGCGGGAAAACAGATCTTTCAGATTTATCGCATCATAATGAGAATCCCTTGCAGTCAAAAAGTCCACCCAGTCAAGCAGTATATGCTTGATGGTGAACACTTCATCGCAAGAGACACACATGGGAGGTTCATCCCCATCTATTTTCAGCAGATAGTCGAAAATGTAAGTATTCGAACTTGAATCATGCTGCATGACATATGCACTTTGCTGGAGTATATAAAGCACAATGCAGTTTGGAATCGGCATTGGTGGCTATTGGTATATATATGTACATAATCCGATCTTATAACATGACCAGGTTCAAGAGACATCATGGCAAATACACACAAAGTTTCAACTTCATGGCCTTTAATGGAGACGTTGAAAATGCAGTCACACTTATAACAAGAGTCATCAGAAGATGACAAATCCCCCCGGCCCCCATAAATTAGAAAGAACAAATCATATGACAGTTACTTAAAGTCCAACTTGATTTTTTGGGACTAGGTCCAAATTGTTTCCAAGGAAATCATGAAAAATAAAAACGCCAAAAATCTGCAAATAGCAAAAGGCAATACTTCAAGATCTGTTGATATATATGTCAAGTCTTGAAGAAAGATATTGAATGGTTTTCGAGTTGTGATCCGGAACGAAACCCACCCCTCCCTTTTGTTACTAAGTCCGAACCGTTTCCATGGAAACCGGGAAAAATAAAAATGACAAATATCTGCACATAGCAAAAGGCACCACTCTAGGTTCTGTTTGATATATCTATCAAGCTTTGTTGAAAAATATTGAACGGTTTTTGAGTTATGCTCCGGAAACAAAATGATTACGGACGGACGAGGCGTCGACTATATCACCCCGCACTACATGCCGGGGGGATAAAAATAGAAGAAAATGAAAGTTAAACATTATACAGATAAAAGCAAAATATGTGAAATCATTAATTAACAGGACACATTGCTGAGTTTTGGAGGACACTGATATCTAAAAACTGGTGTGACAATTTCTGAAACAGAAGCATAATTCTGTAAGCAACTTTTAGAGACACCATAGCTACGATCATTCCTGTTTTTCAAATTTGTTAAATTTATTGCTTGGTCAAAAGTTAATGACATCATGAAAATGTCATTACCCGGTATATCATTTGTTTCAAATTAACTAAAAAGCATATGTCCTACCTCTTGAATGAAGCTCTTGGCAACTTTTAGAGACACCATAGCTAAGATCATTCCTGTTTTTCAAATTTGTTAAATTTATTGCTTGGTCAAAAGTTAATGACATCATAAAAATGTCATTACCCGGTATATCATTTGTTTGAAATTAACTAAAAAGCATATGTCCTACCTCTTGAATGAAGCTCTTGGCAAACTTCCTAAGTACATCAGGAGCAATCTTAGGCACACGCTCACTGTACTCGCCGATGAGCCACAAGATGCTGGCTCGAGCCATGGGCACCATGATCTTCTCCACCATCTTGGCCATATGACAAATGATGTCCTTGTGCTCCGATGGCTGAAAAATGTGATATTTGTCATACAGAGAATTGTCCGGAATTACATAAAAACAGATTTGCGGAATCATGTCCCATCACACCAGACTCTCATCGTCTTTCTAACAACTGTGAAATGCTTGCTTGAGGAAAATATGTTAGACTACAGAGTACATTTAACATCAGGCTTCCTTCCAGTTAGTGTTGTATGTGGATTGTTAAAACTAAGCTAAGGGAATCATTTCTGGAACTAAGTCAATCGCATACTGATTTGATCCTGTGCTAAATGTCTAGTCCTTGTGTTTGGTCTTAGTTTGGTTCAGTCAAACATCTCAATAGCTTTCACAAAGTTTCCCATCATTATCAGAGTACAAATTTACAACAATCCAAGCAGGCAATGACTTACAAGTTGTTCCACAAACAAAATTAAATCATGATATATGTACATAAAGCTGACAGCAACACAAGTTTGCCTATGTAGGTAATCATAAAAGTTTAGTGAATATCATTTAACCCTGCACTTATCAATACACGGTTGAAAATAAACTTCTGTCAGAACACAGAGTCAGCAAGATCATGACTCATACAATGTAGCTCCATCTAATCTTCAGTGTACTGCCCTTGTGGATAGCATTAAGCTGATGGTAGAACCACAAGACACAACAAACCAAAGGAGGTTTTAGTTGTTGTTATTCTGCCTGGCATTCATCACTGAAGAAATTTAACAAAGACTGGTTGCCTCGGAATCAGTATGTCTCTGATTGTAGTATTTATGTTAAGCTGCAGCTTTGTAGCTCAATCTGAACAAACACCCTCAAAAACGAGCATGCACTTTGCTGTGTAAGTGTAATAATCTTGAATGAGACGTTAAATCCCTTTTCACCTCACCACCACCTTGAACCTGTTCTTTCAACACCTTTTCTTCCCTGAATCCCAATGTTAACCATGACCATCCATTAAACCCATCAGCACATGAGCAAGTGTGTTCAAACATCTCAAATTAAAGAAGGCATCTACAACCTATGGCTCATATTGTCTCTCATTCTAGACACCTTAAGTAATAATGGATGAAATAATGAGACATTGTGTCTATGTAATTCATGTAAATAATTACTTGATATTAATCATACTAATTTCACAAGATGACAAACAACTTTTCCTATTTATTCAACTGCCAATCAGCATGTGCCTAACACCGTATCATTGACCCAAACACTAATATATGACCAACCTGATAGTTGTGTCAAGGTTTACCACTTTCAATACCCCTTAAGAAGGGGGATGGTTTCAACACCACAGGATCATAATCAGGGAAGGTCTAGGATTCACATCCATGAACAATGGATCGCATCATTACAAAGGGATGTAAATTAATGCATAACATTAACTTTTTTAAGGATATGTATGTTAAAAATAATTCTCCGCATGGATTAATACATACCTATAGTCTGTTTGCACTGAAAAGGTACTGATGAATTTCACTTTTCACAAAAAAGTAAAGTCAAATAAAGTGAAACTAAGATTGCGAATCCTCATAGTTTTACCTCGCCAATTGAATATTTAAATCTCAGAATTTTATTCAACTTAAGGTAAAAGTTTCTTAACAAATGATCATAGTTTCAAAACGCTATTATTGGTTTGTATTACAAGGGGGAAAGCACAACACATGTAGTTGGAACAGTGAAACAAATGCATGTGCGGTACGTGATGAGCATGAATTTAGACCAACCAAACTTGTTCTATGTGTTTCATTCAATATGCATACTCCCTTGTAATACAAACCAATAATAGCGATTTGAAAATACCGGTATGATTCTTGTCAAACAAGTTTTATCCTCATTTGAATAAAATTCTGAGAAATGTTCAATTGGCAAGGTAAAATTATGAGGATTCGCAATTTTAACTTCACTTTATTCAACTTACTTTTTTGTTTAAAGTGAAATTCATCGGTACGATTTCACTGCAAACAGACTATAGGTAACTATTATAGAATAACACAAACATCATAGACCTTTAACACTGAACCAGAGATCCTATACCCATATATATTGGTAAATGGTTTCTGACTGATCCTACTTGTGAGGACTGTAACAAAACAAATCTATTAAAGATACAGATCAAACAAAAAATGAAAACAGTTCAGAACATATCAACATGATATACTCAAGCATGAGCATGAGTATGTCACTCTGACCTCTAGTGGTATTTCACTCAGACCTCAAGTGGTATGTCACTCTGACCTCAAGTGGTATTTCAAATATGCAACAGGAAGAGAATGAAATAACAACAGAAAGAGAGTATATTTTGCAAACATGCTGTTGCCATATACAGCATGGCCCAGAGAAGGTCCAAACAAAACAAACTACTTATTCAATCTTCAATCTCGTACACACAAACAAGACAAATTGTTCAACATGCAACCTATAAACACTTTTTAACTAACATGAAAGGTCTAATTCAAAGTATCAGTAGTTCCTACATTTGAATTACTGATAAAAAAATACTGCAATCCAACAATGAAAATATTCCTTCGAACGTTTCAAACACCTTTCCAGACATATGCTGAAGCTGTGCAAGCTACACTACAAAATGTGCTACCAATCCCATAACCCAACAACTTCTCCACCATCTTCACAACCCATCGAGCATATGAAAGTCCAGAATCAATCAAGAGAATAAGAAATGCATTTGCCAGGTTCTAAATATTGAAGTAATTAAGACATGGACATGATACTGATCTCTGAAAGCACTGACAACTGTCCATAACTTGGGCCTTGTTGTTTTAAACACTCAGGTAACAGGTATTTTCCTGTAGTTGTTTTGTTTGTTTGTTGTCACGCCACACTCTGCTGTATTCCAGTTCTTTGATGTAAATCTGTAAACATTTGTGTACAGACCAGACAATCCAGTGCTTGACATGAGCATCGATCTACATTATAGGGGCATGATGCCATGCGTCAACCAACTCAAGCAATTCGGCTTACTTGAAATCGCAGTGGGAGATTTCACAGATAGTCTACAGCAGGGCTGCAACAATTCACCCAGATATCAATTCGATTCGAATATCGATATTGGGCCCTCAATTCTATCATTTTCAATTCGATCCCTCATACAAGTAAAAAAATCAGATTTCATTTAACTCTCAGCTTTTTTAGCGTGAAATCCATCGTCAACTTGGCGATATCTAGAACAACAATTCTCACTGGATAAATAGCCCAGTGTCAACCAATCACGTTTTGCCTTATTTCAATGCTCGAAACTGCTCGAGTTGGAGTCAAAATTCCGTTCCGACAGTGTGGAAATAACTTAAATAGGTATTCAAATATCCAATCAAAATAGTGATAATGGTTATCGAAAATCGAAACTAAGGTGTCAGATTCGATTTTTGATGAATCGAACCGAATCATTGCAGCCCTAGTCCACAGAACAGATTTCAGGCTTATTAATACAACTATGGGAACTCTCTGGACGTTACTGGAAACCAAATTGTGATTTACTCTGGGATACTTCCAGTGCATCACACTGTGGCTCATCCAAAGCAGTCATACTTTTGTTGCTCTTTCCAGGTAAATGATAATAATGGAGGGAAAGAGGGGGTCGGGTACAGGTGGGGATGGAAGTGATAGAGCTGGCATAGTGTAAAGGAGAACTAGCTATTTACTTTTGACAACAGTATTTGTAATTTTGGATTTCTGGGCAGCACATCAGACAATTCATGAGATCAGTCATGTTTTTAATGACAGTTTTCAGGGTAATATGTAACTTCCTCGCCTCAAAGTTTAAAAGGAAGAAACATTTGTTCAATTTGGATGAAGAGAACACTGGCAAATGATGAAAAAAGAGAGACAGGATGACACATGACAGATCCAGCAACAAGATGGAAGATGATGACAAAGGGAAGCCTTAGCCCATGTTAGATACCCTTTTTTTCTCGCTTGAAGTGGGCTAGAAAGGAAATAACATATTTATGACAGCATGTGCAATATGTACTGCTTAGATGGAGACAGTGCAGTAGACTTGTCAATGCATAGTTAACTGATAAAAATAATTAATGTGAAAATTGTATTCTTAAAAGAAAAGACTTTGTAACCATAGTAACAATAGCATGCAAAAAGCAGAGTGACTTGTTCAAGTAGATAATTAGAAGGTTGGTAAACAGGATGTTTGACAATAAAGATAACAGGTACTGTTTGACAATAATAACATGTAACAGTGATCAAATAACCTGATTGCAATAAGAACTGATTAAGTCATGACTAATTGAACGTGGATACTTCAGTCACCATGAGAGTGAGAATAATCCTGAAAACAGTGCAGCAGAGAATGTAAACCAACAGTAGTAATGAAGTAATGCGGTGGAGACACCCATGGCTGTAACTCAACCTAACTGGATCATCAAGCAGATGTCACTTTGAGTTTCCCAGCCATTATTTTATTTGTGATCATAATTAGAAACAGATGCACTATGACATCTGTTTCTGAATATATATATAATGTCTTGTTCTTAACTTATTTTCTTCAACACACACACCCATGCAGTTGACACACTGGACATGCAAGACAGTGTGGGAAAGTGACATAGATTAGAATATAGATGATGTAATAGTCTTAAATTCAGATTATATCTCATCTCAACAATTGCAAGCTTTGTGATAGTGTACTGTGGAAGGTATATGCTTACACAATGCATGTTGTGTGAAGTGGCTGACAATGAGACTGTGTGACAGAGTCCTGTGGGAAGTGACTGTGTGAGAGAGTCCTGTGGGAAGTGACAGACAATCAGATTGTGACGGAGGGTCCTGTGTGAAGTGACTGTGTGAGAGGGTCCTGTGTGAAATGACTGACAATGAGACAGTGACGGAGGGTCCTGTGTGAAGTGACTGTGAGAGAGGGTCCTGTGTGAAGTGGATGACTATGAGACTGTGACGGAGGGTCCTGTGTGAGAGGGTCCTGTGTGAGAGGGTCCTGTGTGAAGTGACTGTGTGAGAGGGTCCTGTGTGAAGTGGATGACTATGAGACTGACGGAGGGTCCTGTGTGAAGTGACTGTATGAGAGAGTCCTGTGGGAAATGACTGACTCAGATTGTGAGACATAAGCCATAACAATAAAGATTGAGAGCAAAAGTCTGATCACTCACTCGCATTTGAAGGAGCTTCTTGATAACCACCACACTTTCGGCCACAACACTTTCTGCAAAATAGGAAAACTTTAGGTTTATTCCTGTCGTGAAGATATATTTGCAAAACAAAAAACAAGTTAAATCAGAGACTACAATCAGTCAGTTTCCTTACTGATTAATATTTACAACAGATAACAAACAATTCTGAAAGACCAAATGTCACAATATAACAAAGCACTGCTGCCTTACCATCTCTGTTGGACATGAGATGCACGAGACCGTTGAGACACGTATCAGTGATCTCGGAAATGTTGCTGGCACATCGTCCAATGGCCTGAATTGTAGCAGCTGCAAACTCCTTGTCAGGGCTTAACACATATGTCTGTGGAGAAATGGCACAAACATTAAGGGAGACAACTACTGCATGTGTTTGATATGTGGGCTGTCCTCACACACAGTTTTCCTTGCAGAATTCAAAGGGACAAAACCCTGACCTTGATTCAGCAAACTTCTGTGGAAGTTGTCATGGAGTAAGGGAAGTGCACCTAATTGTCTGAACATATGAACAAGTTTTGGATGGATACCAAGGTGATTCAAGAAGGATCTGTGTTGGCTCAAAGCAAATGGACAAAATACATAATTTTCATGTTCTTTTTCATATTTAAGTCTACTTTGAAATATGGCATCAGTACATATTCCTGTTTAACCAAGTTGAAAAACAATCTCTAGGTCAATTTCAGGGCCGTAGGGTAGCCTAGTGGTGAAACCAGGGTTAGATTTCCCACATGGGTACATGTATGAAGCCCATTTCTGCTGTTCCCTGCTGTGATATTGCTGCAATATTGCTAAAAGGGGCGTAAAACCATACTCACTCACTCACAGACTACGTCAATCTCAATGGCAATAAGTCAAGCTAAAAGAAAACATACCAATCTGAAGCCCCCTACCTCTAGCAGTTTGACAATGTTTCAGTTTGACAGTGCTAGCAGTGCCAGTATATCACTTCACTGTAACTACTGTCATAGGAATTGGAAATACCAAATATTGCCAAATGTAAACAAACAAAATGACTCACCTGCAATTCTCTCAGAATTGTGGATATGTTTGTCTCAGTTGCCAAACTGGTCAAAATCTCCAACTGGATAGAACAATGAGTAGATCTTAGTCAACAGGATAAATATAACAAGAAGTCATCCAGAAGCAAACATTATTCGATGTATTTTGTTACAATCAACATTATACAATGTGTTTTGTTACAATCAACATTATACAATGTATTTTGTTACAATCAACATTATACAATGTATTTTGTTACAATCAACATTATACAATGTATTTTGTTACAATCAACATTATACAGTGTATTTCGTTACAATCAACATTATACAATGTATTTCATTACAATCAACATTATACAATGTATTTCGTTACAAAACACAATGGATTTATCAACTCTTATAAGGGGAATTGATGATGAGTTATGTCCCCTAGGTTTACCAGGATTCTATGGTCATAGGTTCCAATACCAGATTCACTCTATTGTAATGACTGGTTAGTCAGAACCATACCCAGGATTCTCTAAAGACCATCATTTCAGTATCTCCCACTGCATAAAGCTGACACGATATGCTATCAGATAGGTATTGAACCGAACCAAACTCACTCATTTACTTACTAACTCTACTATAATGTACTTCCTTGTTTCTTACCTTTAAAAGCTTGACATGAAGAGGGTCACTGGATCGCACATAGAAGCTCTTGAGGTAAGGTTCAAACATTCCCTGGTGATGTAAATAGTAAAACATATATCCCTTATACACGTTTAATGTTTGTACACATTTGTAGACGGTGAATGAATTAAACATCAATGATAATCAAAGATCAGTCTTTCAATAACATGTGTCAAAGAGATGGCCATGATGATAAACATTATTGGTAAAGGAAAATAATAACAAAGACATTTTTTGAAAAATGTTATTCAGAATAACGTAAATAATGGAATGAGTGGAACACTACTGTGATTCTAAGACTGTTCATGAAATCAGCAGTATGACACTGTTGATACAAGTGTAAGCTGCGTCAATCACTGATACATGTATTTGCTTTGATCAGGATTAAAGAGTCAATCCCTAAATTGGGTGTACATGTACCTTGGGCAAACTGACACACCAATGTATACTGAACACTGTGATTAAATGATTCACAATGATCAAACTTTGCACTCCCGTACTGGAACACAGCAGCCATTCACTAACTCAGCATAGCAATCCTCACCAAGTATAAAGCAGTTATCAATGTGTGTGCTTGTTATTTACTATCCTCGATAATCTCCAGGATATATGTTTCGATAAATCTCCGCTATACCCAGGATGCATCTACAGCTCGGCCAGATAATATTATTACCTCCCTTTGCTGGCTCCGCATTCTCCCAGTAGCCAATCAGCTAAGCCACCGTTACAACAGAGCTTGCCAGTGTCAACAAAGGTTTGTTCGCAGATTTTTGGGGAAATCATACAGACAAATTGACAAGTGTGAAACTTCCAAATAATATATGCAAGAACTCCTTCTACCTCTTTCAGAGTACCTCTGCATCAATTGTGTTGCCAAGTTTAATCGGTTAGATAATTTAAGAAGCGAGAGTGAGTTGTGAGTGGTACGCTCAACTTCCCGGTGTAGACACCTGATAGGATAAAAAGCCAGCTAAGGGAGGTAATATAATCATTGGGCCGAGCCGTAGATGCATCCAGCGTATAGTGGAGATTTATCGGAACATATACCCTGGAGAATATCGAGGATGGTTATTTACCTGAGTCATCTATAGACATTCACAGTCTTAACACTCTCTAATGAAACTGTCAAACAAATGGGCACAGTGACATAATCCACTGTTTTTTTTATCATACTATGTTCTGACATTTGCTACAGAAATTAGTGCAGCACACTGGAGATCAATCCCATATCCATTAAACTGACCTTTCTCTTGATTGTCATTGTTGCAATGTTGCTAAGTACAACATACTGGATCTCTCTGAAACAAATCAATAATGTTAATTGACATTCCGCAGTCATGCATATTCACACATGGAAACAATGAGACAATATACACATAATACACAGAATGAATATTCATATAATATATAGAATGAATATTCATATAATATATAGAATGAATGTTCAAGGTTGTATAGGAGTAGCTATTCTATATTAATCAACTGTTATTGTATAAAAGCCCTGATATGGTAAAATGCTGCCTGGCTGACTTGTTCCCATGCTCTGTTTCATGTACATGTCTGTCACATGGTCACACACAATGGCCAACAGAGATACATTGTTTATTACAAGACTACTAAATCAAAATGGTTGACAACGTCAATGCTTGCAGGGTAAAATTTACATGTAAACATTTATTTGATTTATTTCAGAAAGACTTTGCATGTTAATGACCCAAATTATTTCTGGAAAGAAACCACATAACTTCTTTGAGAGGCATATAGAAGTCAGAGTACTAAGTAAGGATACGATATAGGGATGAACAACTTATTGATTTACAAGGAGCAAAATTGCAAGGAGCATGTGCTTGCTCAAAGTGAAAAGTTACAGACATTTCAAAAAAGCAAAAGCACCAACTGATTACTAGATGGATATATCTGTGCATTTGATCAAGACATATTGAACAGTCTGATTTTTGCCCCAGAAATGTCATGGACTGAAGGACAGATGGACAGATTCCTGACCTCCTGCCTCATGGCTAGGGGTAATAATTCTGTGACCAAGTAAGATATATTTACTTTTCACTATAATGGTTATCAGAATAAGCAAAATGAAAAACATATTTTTCCTTATCCTGACTCATGCTCTTTTGCTTGTCTTCTTCTTCTTGCGAACATAGTGGAACACTTGTATCTCCCTAGACACATTGTATTCTCATGACCCATCAGTCCCCATTATGAAGTCACATAAAGTCATGAATACATTTGGTTTACTTACTTGTGACTTCTGAGAAGCCTGATTAGAGCTTTGGCGACAACACCTACTTCAGCTTTTGGAGCACAGTGGTGATACAGCTGGGCAACTGACATTACAACCTGAGGAGGAGATAACACATACTATACACAGTGGTGATACAGCTGGGTAACTGACATTACAACCTGAGGAGGAGATAACACATACTGTACACAGTACTGGGTACACAGTGGTGATACAGCTGGGTACAGCTGGGTAACTGACATTACAACCTGAGGAGGAGATAACACATACTGTACACAGTGGTGATACAGCTGGGTAACTGACATTACAACCTGAGGAGGAGATAACACATACTATACACAGTGGTGATACAGCTGGGCAACTGACATTACAACCTGAGGAGGAGATAACACATACTATACACAGTGGTGATACAGCTGGGCAACTGACATTACAACCTGAGGAGGAGATAACACATACTGTACACAGTGGTGATACAGCTGGGTAACTGACATTACAACCTGAGGAGGAGATAACACATACTATACACAGTGGTGATACAGCTGGGTAACTGACATTACAACCTGAGGAGGAGATAACACATACTATACACAGTGGTGATACAGCTGGGCAACTGACATTACAACCTGAGGAGGAGATAACACATACTATACACAGTGGTGATACAGCTGGGTAACTGACATTACAACCTGAGGAGGAGATAACACATACTATACACAGTGGTGATACAGCTGGGCAAATGACATTACAACCTGAGGAGGAGATAACACATACTGTACACACATTGGTGATACAGCTGGGTAACTGACATTACAACCTGAGGAGGAGATAACACATACTGTACACAGTGGTGATACAGCTGGGCAACTGACATTACAACCTGAGTAGGAGATAACACATACTGTACACAGTGGTGATACAGCTGGGCAACTGACATTACAACCTGAGGAGGAGATAACACATACTGTACACAGTGGTGATACAGCTGGGTAACTGACATTACAACCTGAGGAGGAGATAACACATACTATACACAGTGGTGATACAGCTGGGCAACTGACATTACAACCTGAGTAGGAGATATAATCTGAAATTATCCACAGTCATATACATATCTCTGTCATAATTAGGTACAACACAATATCATAATTATACAATCTTCATTCTCCCAACTGACAAAAGAATGATTAGTTGAAAATAAGTGATGACACACTTACTGCTGCATTTCGGCTATTAAGCAATGGTTTAGCTTGACGCAAGAGAAGCCTATGATCAGAGTCCATCACATATGGCTTCTTCTTGGGTTCAGACTCCTTAGTCTCATCCTCCTCCTCGGATGATTTGTCAGAGTCTTCATAAAAAGGCTTGTCTATATCATCAATACTGTCCTGAAAAGTGACCAACACAGGTGCTGTTACTGCTTCAGATATTGTACCACTCAAGTCAAATGGCTTATTCCAGAGTAAGGTGATGGGGTAGCCTAGTGGTTAAAGTGTTCGCTCACGATGCCAAAGACCGGGTTCGATTCCACACATGGGCACAATGTGTGAAGCCCATTTCTAGTGTCCCCCACTGTGATGTTGCTGGAATATTGCTAAAAGGCGGTGTAATACTAAACTCACTCACTCACTATTCCAGAGTCAGAATAAAAGCATAAAACCTTTATAGTTATATAAAATGGGATATTCATTATCTTGAAGAATGAGGTTCTGTTATAGTAGCATAAATTTACATGATAAACCTGTGGATATGTATAAACTCATTGTTTTACGTGACAAACAAATGTGCATCCAGTTCGCCCAAATGTAGAGAATGGACGCAGAAAATCACAAATACTGCATCCAGAGAGGCACAAAACTACTGAAAGCGTACCTACAGTGCATCAAGAGTAGTTATCAATGTTGGTTATTTCACCCACCAGTGATGACCACTGCCCACATGGCCACTGATTCCTTCCAGGCTCTGAAGTATCTATCTGAACGTACACTACACTATACCAGTACTTTACAGGACCCTCATATTACCAGCAAGGACCGGTAAAATGTATTGATGTAAGATTTTGTAAGAAGAAGAGACAACGTAAGACCTTGTAGCAATACAGCAATGCTCTTCATGTCACTTAGGTCATACCCGTGAAGGTCCAGGTTAGAATATTGATCTTCAGTAACCCATGCTTGTCGCAAGAGGCGACTAACATGATCGGGTGATCAGGCTCGCTGACTCAGTTGACACATGTCATCGGTTCCCAATTGAGCAGATGGATGCTATTGCTGTTGATCACTGGATTGTCTGGTCCAGACTCGATTATTTACAGATCGCTGCCATATAGCTGGAATATTGCTGATTGTGGCGTAAAACTAAACATACTCACTCACACTCACTTAGGTCAACTGGTAAAAATTATTTAAGAGGGTCATTAGGACTAAGCATCTTAAAAAATATTTGAAATTAATTCACAATGACTGAATGTTCCAAAAAGCAACTCAATCTGGCTGAGGGTCTAAGAGGTGAGTTACAGAAAACCCCTACTAATGTCATCATGGTTATGTCACACTTACAAACTTCATGAGGACTGGGGTATCACTGTTAATGATCCAGTTCTCAATATTTACTACAATCAGACATTCAGTAAGACTTACGGTCTGGTTTGGGTTGAGGAACTGTGTTCGACAATATCTGGTCAGCATATTGATGATGACCACCTGTCCCCATTCCTCAACGTCCACAAGGAGGTTACACATCTTGCGGTAGTTCTTGTGGATGAGGTCAATACGTTCAGGGCACACCTCTTCAAATGCTTGAATGGCACTCCCTGCCACCAACTGTACAGACAAAATACATTTGTAAACAACATCAAAGCTGACAAAAACATAATTTCTCAAAAATAATTGAAAATTTTAACCATAAATTGTATATTTATATACTTATCCTATCTCACGTATTGTACTCTCTCTCTTTAATTCGATGAATGAGTGGAAACCAAAAAGCTTGTGAACTTATCTCGGCCTCCGGTCCAAGCACCCGCCCTCCATATTGTCCTCCTTCCTGGACATCTCGCTGTCTATCGAGAGAGGCATGCGTCACGCTCCACTGCCTAGTCACATGACCATACCTTAGTGATCATTCTCGCTCTTGGAGTAAATGTATATCAAGGTAGTGGGGAGGCTGGGTGGGCGTGAGATCGCGTGAGATAGGATAAGTATATAAATCTACAATTTATGGTTAAAATTTTCAAATTTTTAAACTTATCCTATCTCACGTATTGTACCTATCCCACGGTAGGACGGCGGGCCGCAGATTACCCTATGTCACAGTGCAGACGGCTAAGTCTCATACTGTTTAACTACCGAGATATGTTGTATGCACAAGGGAGGCCTGTTACTGTGTAACTCCTATGCTTGTGATGGGTTAATCCACGGAACCCCTTAACGTACTGGGAGATGGGAGCTCGCAATAAAGTGGTTTTCCGCCGCAACCTTTAACTTGTAAAGGGACGTAGTTCAGCAAGTAAACCTCGCTTTGCCACGGATTTACAGAAAGCCCCAGTAAACTAAGATCTAAGATCTTGGTCTGGCCAGCTCCTGCTTCAAGAACGTACACACAGACACCATCGATTAGAGGGTGAAAGGTGATACGCCTTGGAACCTCACTATTTGAACATTCAATTCCAAACAACATCGAATGACCCTCCCTCCTTTACACAGTGTAGGAAAGATGTAGAAAATCTAGCCTGTCCACAGGACTGGCAGGTCAAATTTTTTACCAGTCCTGCCAAAATCTAGCCTGTCCTCCAAATATAAATAAAACACCTTCTGCAGTAAATATTCAAAAAGGTTATAATCATTATATAAATGTCAATGGTTTGCTAAAATTGACCCGACATGAGGACGGACTAGATATTTTTTTAACCCGTCCTCCACAAAATTCACCCGTCTCGGACGTTGGGACGGGCTATCTTTCCTACACTGCTTTACATAAGCTTTATCACGGATGTGTCCGGCAACTTGTGAGTAGAACGCATCGAAAACCACTGGTATTCGGAATACACACTTCACTGATGTAATTGCTCGGCAAGTAGAGGTCAGTAAGCATGCGTGTTGATGTTTCTCTGCATTAAACCGATAGACTCCACATTGTATGTCGAGTAGTCTCCCCTAGACTACGTTTCATGCCTTAGTGCCAGACTAAGTGAGATACATCTAGTCCCATAAAGTAGAACAAAAGATTGAAATAAGGTTTAATAATTTATTCTGTATGTACAAGGAATCAGCGAACTGCATGTGGATCCAGTCCCTTGAGTTATCTGCGCTGGCGGGCTGACGACAACTGCTGAGCCAGAACCAATGGCTCAATTTGGTGTAAACCTTCCACATCGGTGACCGATACGTCTCGCAGGTAGTGTGACGAAAAAACTGTGTCAGACTTCCAAAAGCATCCTTCCATAATGGTCGTAAGGTAGCAGTTACTATGTAACGCCATAGTGGAGGCTAACGCCCTATTCTCGTGGTGATTCGATGCAGCCGGCGGTGGTAATTCAGTGAACCTGTAAGCCTGCAGAATGGTTGATTAAGTGGTACGGGATACTTCGGCCCTTGATGCAGTAGATAGAGGGATGAACAGCTATTTCCTTAATCTGCGCTGGTTCTGTGATGCAGCTAAGTAGATTCTAAACGCTCTAACTGGGCAAAGCGCTAAATCTTCAGCGTCATTATGATCCAATATGGTGGACAGTGGTGGGATGGTAAACATACGATCCGGCTGTCCGGGCAACTGGTTTTTAGCAACGAAATCCCATAGAAGCCCAAGAAAAACCTGCCCTGCTCCTTCTGCTCAAACTTCACCAGAGAAACATCCAGTGCATGGAGCTCTGATATATGAGCGACGGTTGCCAAGGCAACCAGGAAGAAGGTGTTGAATGATATGCGTTCAAAGTCTTTATCTTGCAAAGGCTCATACTCGTCTGAGACCAAATGACGTAAAACAACAGACAGATCCCACGCTGGAGGTCGGGAACTTCCGAGATTGGTCAGCGAGTCTATAAGAACGCAAAAGGTACTGAAGTTCTGGAGTCGACGAAACCTTTATCCCAGTAGAGGTTGCCAAGTCTGTGTTAATAGCAGCCAGATAAGTGGCCAGCGCCGTACCCTTCAACTTCTTAGTAGAACGAAGATGTTGTAAAAACTCCGCAACGACCTGAGCAGAGGCAGAAGTAGGTGAAGAAACGCCTTTATTCATACAAAATGCTTCAAATCTTTTCCATTTATCATCATACAACGGGCGAGTAGAACTGCGATGAGCCATCGTAATAGCTAGTCTCTGCGAATATCCCTTAGCTAAGAGAGATTTCTGAAGATGGACCATACGTGAAGATTTAGCTTTTTCAGTGATGCGTGGCGCGCTGCTCCGTGTGAGGATGAAGTAATGGGTCATTTCGATTGGGTAGACAGGATGGCTTTGGTTCGGCGAGACGAAGTAGCTCGACGAACCAACCTCTCGCTGGCCAATAGAGCGTGACCAAAATCAGTGTTATCTGTTTGGTTGTCAGTACCTTCTGTAACACTCTGGGTAGAAGAGCTGTTGGAGGGAAGGCATAGGCGTTTAGACCTTCCCACGTGACTGCTAGTGTATCCTGATCCCAAGCGAGTTCGTCCGGGAATGGGAGACACGAACTTGGGAAATTGATGGTTGAATCTCGTTGCGAATAAGTCCATCTGTCTGGAATATTGATAGGAGCAACTTCCATTCTGTGGGGGATGGTTGACTTGACTGTCATAGAGCGTCTGCAATGACATTCTTGATCCCGGGAATGTGTCTTGCCCTTACAACGATGTTGTGGGAGTCTATTAGTTCGTAGAACCGTAGCGACCAATCGAGGAGATGTGATGAGCCTGTTGATCCCATATGGTTGATGTAGAAGACCACTGTTGCATTGTCCGACTGAATCAGGAGATTGGTGGACTGTAGATGGTTCGACCAATGTTCTATTGCTTGAATTGCTGCTTTGAATTCTAGCTCGTTGATGTGCAGGGTCTGTTCTGTGATTGACCACTGCCCTGCCACCTGATGATTGCTCAGATGTGCTCCCCAACCTAGTAGGGAGGCGTCTACGAATGCGATGCGTTGGAACGAACAGCTGCAAAGAGACTCCTCCGCAAACATTCTGTACTTTGAGCCACCACTGCAGGTAAGGGTGGAGTGATGGTGGAAGTTGAATCAATACATTGGTATCTTGAGCTTGTAGGTACGGCTGTAGAAAACGTTGAATCGGTCGGAGTTGTAGTTGACCCCTGTAAGTGAGTGCTTGAGCCGACGTGAAAAGGCCCAGCGGCTCTTGGCGAAGAGATCTCCCTTGAGATAAGGCTAGGGGAACCCATTGTTGTACCTTCAACCATCTGTCCTTGGGTAAAAACAATTTGCCCTGCTTTGTGTCGAATATTGCTCCTATAAACTGTAGTCTCTGGGTCGGTGTTAGTTCCGACATCTTTTCGTTTACTAACCATCCCAACTGACGAAGTAGTTGAGTGGTGAACTGAAGATGTTGAAGCAGGGTCGATTGGTTTTGCTGCGCCTGAATACAGTCGTAGATATAAGATTCGAAGGTGATCCCTCGACAGTGGAGGAATCGAGTGATGGGCTTGGTTATCCGAGTGAAAAGCATGGGGCCGTAGAAATTCCAAACGGCAGGACTTTCCATTGGTAATGTATGCCTTTGAAAACGAACCGTAGATATCTGCGATGATCGGGATAAATCGGCACATGTAGGTAGGCATCTTGGAGATCTAAACTCCCTTCTTCAGGATAGTCCGGAGCAAATTGATTGAAACAAGCCTGAAGTGGGGCGGAGGTTGCAGGTAGTGAGTGTTGAACATTTTCAAATTGAAAATGAGTCGCAGTTTGTCTGAATCTTTTTTGGGGATCAAAAATATCAGAGAATAAAAGCCTGGAGTCATGTGTGCTGGACCGAGCGACTGGATTGCTAATTCTCTAGCAACCTCGTGGTGCGCAGAACATTTAGCTGGCTGATTGGATGGGTTCGGTGCAATGGGCTGGTCGTGAGAGGCGGCGTACCGATTAGTGGTAGTCTGTATCCTGTCGCTAGGGTATTCATGACAAACGGATCGCTCAATATTTTCCAGTTGGGTGCGAATAGTCCCAGTCTTCCGCCTACATGGGTATATACAAACGGCAGGTCCCAGTCGTGCGATGATGTCCTTGAGTCCCTCTTGACCCGAGCAGTCCTGGAGACGGTCCTAGGGGGACGACGGGATGAGGTTCCCCGGAATGACTTACATCCTCTTTGGCGACAAAAAGCCTCTCTCAAGTCCGGGTTAGATGGAGTGAAGTAAGGTGTCTTACGCTGAAGAAGGGCTTCCTGCAACTGGGTTTTCTGAAGTTGCATAAGATCCACCGAAACCAGGAACTCGTTTTCTCTGTCCACTTTGAACGATACCTCGTGGATCTGTCCATTAAAAACAGATTCGGCGGACCATGGTTGTTTAAAAAGTTCAACCTTGTATCTATCCTCCCATGAAGAATGATTCAACACACCTCTACGTCTCATGGCTAGCACATAGCCTAGAAAATGAGATATCTGGTCGAAAACAGTAGACAACTGTTCAATAATCCGGTTTGTCACACCTCTGATGTAAGCATCCTGGTTAGATACTGCATGTAGTAATGTCTCATTCACTGCATCAACAGATGATAAAATACAGTTCAAGGCTGGAAGGGTTCGTCGAATGGACGTTTCCAGGTGCGCTAGTTCTCTATCTTCAACCAAGAACGGAGAAAAATCTTCTTTGGGCACAGTGTATTAATATCTTGATCCATTGTAGGAGCCATGGCAAGACGCGTCAGTCCATGTACATGCACCGCACTGGTTGAGAATCTTGGTGCAGAGAACCAATCTTGAACACGCTTAAGATTCTTGAAGGCCAAATCTAATGATCCTGTTATGCGAGTGATACAGTCTCTTGGTGGTAAAGTAATGGATGACAAATCTTGTCCCTTCATGCAATACGATGAAATACTATCTTCTGCTGAAGTGCTTCTTGATAATTTCAATTTCTCCACAATCCATGCTAAAACCTGGCCTGGTTCGGCGATAATAAAACTCCCATCAGATCCAGATATTTCGTCCGAATGATTCGGTGACAAAGTCTCGTGTCGATGTGATGGAATAACGGTCAATACAGCAGCTGTATGTACTGGTATCTGGATAGACATCGTAGGTACAGGAGGTACCGTAGTCGCTGGCTGCTGCATAGTCGACAAGGTAGTAGTGAATGCTCGCAACATCATCTCAAAATTAGGTTGTTGATTGGAGATCACATTCCCCGTAGTTTCCAATGACACAGGCAAAGTATGTTGCTGAAGTGGTATCTCACTATGACTACCCAAATCCATAATCCTAGGCTGAGGTACGATATTCGCTGAATCACTGACAGGATTCGAACCCTCAATCCGAGGTGCTCTAGAAACTGTACTGGAAGATCGTCGGCGGTTCATCACATGAGCGTTTGCATGACGTGAGTCCGAATGATGTGAATCCGACGAATGGTGATGGCTCAAATCTCAACGAATAGGAGACATTCGACGATCCTCCATAGATGACAAAGCCCTCGAATGCACCCTCGAAGATAAGGAATGGTGAGAAATCCTGCCTGATGGTAGCAATCGATCTCTCGATGAATGATGGCTAGTTGATTATCGATGTCCGACCGAAGTAACTGGAGGTTTTGGTGGCACTACCGAAACCACTGAAGTGATCGACGGTAGAGGTGGTGATATATTCAACGCATCACTCGGCACTGTCGGGATGATATTGGATAGATCAACTGATTGAAGCGTCGTAGGATCACTGATAGGTAGGTTCGTCGCATCCGATGTTGTAGGTAATCGTGACAACGTTGAACGTAGGTCCGACGCGCCCGAAGTTCCTGTCTAGTTCGTCTTATCTATGACCACGACTCTCGAAGATACAGATGATCGATGCGACGAATCTACATCTTCATTCCCCAATAAAACTAAAGGCAAAGATTCTCTGGTAAATAGGAGTCTGAAGAAGCGTCCAGAAAATCATCCTTAGGTTCGGACAATGGTGTGTGGGATCTCCTTTTTGCTACTTTCTTAGGACGATCTACTTTTGACTTTTTTGAAGAAGATGGGTCATGCTCTCCTGATGATTTCCGATAGTCTCTGTCCGCATGCTGACGGGACCCAACTTTCTTATATTCAGTGAAAGCTTCCTCAGTCAAAGGTTTACAATAGGAACAACGATTATCCCAGGAGCCAAAACCCGCACAATCCACACATGATGTATGGGGATCAGCAACAGAAAAGATAGTTTTACATTTATCACGAAGTTTCCTCTTTCTAGAGGAAGATGTTTCTTTCTTTCCCATATTCTTGTTGGAAAAATTCTAGTTCACAAATTAACGTCTGCACTGATCGGCGACAAGAGGGAGAATAATCACTAAGCCTCTCGCGAGAGACAGCGAGATGTCCAGGAAGGAGGACAATATGGAGGACGGGTGCTTGGACCAGAGGCCGAGATAACTTCACAAGTCTTTTCGTTTCCACTCATTCGTCGAATTAAAGAGAGAGAGTACAATACGTGAGATAGGATAAGTTTAAAAATAATTCCTTTCAAAAACATCTACTGAAATTACTTCTATTATACATCATATATGTATATGCCACAGTAGGTAATGCAGAATACTTCAGGGTTGAGTCCTATCTACACCAAGATCATTGGGTTGGTTCAAATTCGAAATTCACCAGGTGTTCACTAACAGGGTCACTATAGGCATTCCTCTCCCATGGAACAACATTACTGAAGTTTCATTCAATCTCCACAGAACTGACTCACTATGTTACTTATATGGCAGACAACGTAGGGGCCAACAGTCAACTACACAAGGAACTCACAGTTGTTTTATCCCCAAGCAGCTTCTCTATCACTTCTATCAGCTGTTCTTTGGTCTCAGGGTCAAGGCTGAAACCAACACGGTAAAATGTCTTTAATTACTAATTCCCTCACATGAAATGGAAACATAGAATCAGTCTATTAATGTAGCCACTAGTCTATAGCTTAAGGAGAGTCCAATTGGTCATCTAACAATAGTCAATGTAGTAACACTTAATTTTACTGAAAATGATACAAAGAACCAAGTTCTGCCTACCTGTAGAGCTTGGGTATAGCATTAGGTGCTGATTACTAATAGAGCTTGGGTATAGTAAGAAGTGCTGATTACCTGTACAGCTTGGGTTGAGTGAGTGAGTGAGTGTGGTTTTACATCGCTTTTAGCAATATTGCAGCAATATCACGGTGGGGGACAGGTATAGCATGAGGTGCTGCCTACATGTACAGCTTGGGTATAAAAAGATGTTCTGACTACCTGTACAACTTGGGTATAGCATGAGCTGCAGTTTTCCTGACATAAGGGGACATGTCCATCACTGCCTCTTTGATGGCCAACATCATAATGGGTGTGATCACAGGCACTCGAATACTTGACAGAACACGCAGGGCACTTGCACGAATCAGCTGATTCGGATCCTGGCAGAAACATGAAGTAACAATTTGATTCATGAATATTTTACAAAGTAGGCAGGAAAACCATCCTTTGGGGTGGAGGTTAACTGTAGTATGAGTACATATAATATCCAGATATCATCTTGCTCATCATCAAACTTGATCTGTACAATATCATACTAGTCAAAGTATTGGTCTGGTGGACATCAACCTAGGAACTCATTCAGGTAAACTGTGAAAAAAACAACTGGTCTTGCTGGATTTCATCTATAGCTCCTTGAAGTGAAAAATACTTCATCACAACAGGCTACAAAAAAATACTTCATCACAATTGGGCATCACACAAGCATACATCAATCTTACCTTCAAAGCTCTCTGAAAAGTGCTGATAGAGAGCAAAGCCAGGTCTTGCTGTTCTTCTGCATATCGTGTCAGGTACACATACACAAGCTTTTTTATCTGTCAACACAATAAAGTATTCCAACAATTCAATCTAAATCTCAGTGGCCTGTAAATAATGAAGGCCAGAAAAACACAATGATTAATACTCCCAGTATGAGTCTCACAACCTCAGGTTACGACAATATGCAATCAACCAAGTCACTGATCTGCTTTAGATTCTCCTGGTGATCAATTCTAACAATCGTCCCTGATGCTGCTCAGAAATGTAAAAGTCTCCTTGAAAGCATGTTTATGTCCCTTGACCAGCTTCAAATGCAAATTACAATCTAAAATAATCATCATTTACTATAAGCACCCATGATTCACTCATGATTTTATCTTGCATGCTCTAAGTCATTAAGTTTTCTCAATCCCTGAGACATAAAAGAAAATATTTGTACCCATTCTTACCTCAAGGTTTTTTTGAAACAACATTCTTCACAACTGCAGGAAACAAATCAGAAGCGTCTTTTCCTTTTGCTACCATCTGAAAAGTAGCGAGAATGAATACAATAAATATAAACAACTACTGTACCTGCACAGTGCCACAGATGCAATTCACGGGAACACCTGGGCAGTTCAAAATGTCAAAGTAGGATCCATGAATGATACAGCTCCAGACACCACTGATGAATGGCAAGTAAGTCACAGAGTGTTAAGATACAATTCTGATCATAAAGCTTCTATCTTCCACACAAGAACAGGACCCATACATTTTGAAAAATACTTTGGACCATTTAATGGCGACATGTATTTACTACACCTTCAAAATCAACCAGCTCACACTCAATGATTAGGATTCCTGACATATTCTGATTGCTTTTATACAATACCCCAATGATTCTTTTCATGGCCTCCAACTTAAGGTTGTCCTTGTTGCCATCAAGCATCGATTTCAGGTCTTCATGTCTGAAAACACATACAATACAATTATTAGGGAAAAGAAAGTTTAAAGAAACGCTGCAGAGATATGAACATCATACAAAGCATACATTAGTCAACTGTATCTGTGTAACCCTTCTCATCGTCATTGTCCTATTCTAATTTGTTCAGATGAATATTTAAAAAGCCTCTGTTCAAGGAGTAACAAATTTTCATTTATTGCCTGCCTACTTTGTATGCAGAATTTGGTATTAATAATAAGTTCAAATCTAACAGTAGAAATTTAAGTCATGTAATGCTGAATTATTTGTCCACAATGGTTCGAATTACCTTCCTTCAAACATGCACATTTTCACTGAATTGAAACAGTAAATTTCCTGTTGTGAGGCTGGAGCTCACTGACACTATTGAATCTCCTGAATTTTCTCACAGTTCTGCACATGAAGTTACAGTTGTGTGAAAACATGATTTCCCAGCCATATAATATTGGCAGATGTTTAGCGGGAAAGATGTTATCGCATTCAATTTATACAATCATGTTAGGGTCTGCCCACTGAAACAAACTGATGGTTAATATTTGACAGAAGCTGGAGTGAGTAAGTGAGTCTAGCTTTACGCTGCTTTTAGCAATATTCCAGCAATATCACGGCGGGGGACACCAGAAATTGGCTTTACACATTTTACCCATGTAGGGAATCGAACACGTATCTTTGGCGTGACGAGCGAACGCTTTAACCACTAGGCTACCCCACCGCCCCGACAGAAGCTGGATATATCTGAATGTGAAACATATCTGGACAAGTTATAACTGAACAATTTCCTGACATTTCCCTCACTTATTACATCCATAGAAAGAATACTATGGAGTCTTTTTCCAATAATAAAAGGTGGCATAATAACATGTCTGACTGACTGACTGAGTTTGGTTTTACGCCGCTTTTAGCAATATTCCAGCAACATCACGGCGGGGGACAGCAGAAATGGGCTTCACACATTGTACCCATGTAGGGATTCGAACCCGGGTCTTCGGCGTGACGAGCCAACGCTTTAACCATTAGGCTACCCCACCACCCCGCATAATAACATGTCAACTATCCAGAGCAAAACTCCTCAGTTCTTTTGAGTCACTGGACATTTTCGAAGTGTAGAATAACCAAAGTGTCCATGTAGGTCATAGTTTACTGCCCATTTAGTCCAGCATATAACTAGACGTCTTTGCACTATACCAAGGAGTAGGCCTTGGCTCAATGGCTGAAATACGAGTTATTTCTATGAACTAACAGTCCAATATGACATACCTATAATGTACCTGTATAGCATTAATGTAAGGTATACGTCATCAATAACCACAAATAGTCTGTGATGACAATATGATTAGAGCTGTCATCGTTAGTGCTTTCACAGTAAAGATATCAGTACAGTCAGACATATGACATGTCACTCAACCGGTGTCAACATTGACCCACCTCTTAAAATCGGTGGTGAAAAAGCCGCTACTGGCGGGGTCAGTAGCAATATCTGCGTCGGCACTGCCCGTGGATGAGGGTGGTTTTTCGTTGGCATAACTTGTCGTCAGCTGGAGGCCGTTTCCAGACATTTTCTGTAATTTATTGATTCCCAAAACAACAATTTTCTACAGACGGCTACTCCAGCTTCCGTCTTTCACGCGCTTAAACCGGAAGTCATGTGGCAGGCGCAAATATATTTCACATACAGAAACAAGAACGAAATATGATTGTATAAAACTGTTAAATGCATCTCCCAGGCGAAACTGGTCTTGGGACTGTTACGTTTTTTCATGCCCCACATCCTTACACATATAATATATGTTCATGCCCTATCCCATCACCCACCCGCCCTGTACTTCAGAACCAGTCCCAAAATACGGTTCGAATTGTGAACTTATGAAAAAAATAGAACCATATGCCATTTTTGATGCCCCAAACCCGGAATATGCTGGGACAAATTTTGTCCCCCACACCCCATCCTACCCATTGATTATTTTTATAGGTGTAGATGTGTATTGTTTAAATTATCACGGAGAATCAATCACCTACTCTTCTGTGGAAAAACTACTAACTGTGTACGTGTGCTGTGCCCTTAAACCTACGATGGTCTTAAGTGCACAGAAATCATGAATATTCATGAGTGGGCGGAGCTTATGCACAACATACGCGTAACATAACCTATTGTGCTGAGAAACATTGTAATGATCCAATGTATAGCCTCATGCAAGGAAATGATAGACCCAAGGTGTATTTACTGGCAATCACACAGGGGTGATGACGCATTCACGCATTTAGACATAGCCGAGGCATGTTTTTAATGATCTGAACTAGCCCTCTTGACTTTTCATTTGTGGGTATAGGTTGCACAGTTGACTTTAAGGCGCCAGCTGGGAACCTATGTGGGTTAATGCCCCTGTCCCCCCTGAATATGTTTCTTGGCTCGTCTCTTACATATCCGTGATCAAAGTTGTCAACTGCAGAGACCTCCACCGCTTCGGGATTTACTGTGTGATGTTACTGGAACACAAACAAAAGCACATTTGCACATAACGTATTGCGACCATTTCACATTAGAGATGCGCTCCAGATAAGTCAGGACAAAGGTGATGATTTTGTTGACACATACAACATGGACTTTTAAGTGTGGTCGTGATTGTCAACCCCTTCTTTGAGTGGCAATTTAGAAGTTGGGACATATATACAATACTGAACAACCTTTATGGATAACAACTTCTTTTATTTCGGAATATGGATAACAACTTCTTTTATTTCGGAATAAAAAAAGTTGTTATCCATAAAGGTTGTTCAATATTTGTCTATCCCGTCGGTACACTAGCACTTGTCTCTGTTACTCTTTGGCAAATAGAAACGATAAAACGCAAAATTGATGCCAAAGGCTTACGCGTGCAAATTTTTAATGTAGCTTAATGTGTTCGTCCAGTGTTGCCTTGACCAAATGTCTGGTTTTCTTGTTAGCCACGAAAAACACCGACGTACCTTTTTGAACGAAGTGGATATCAATGTAGGACAACAAGGTTGTACATTGTTTTATTGCCTATTAATCACTATTGATATGAATTATGAGAACGTGCACACTTTGACATCGGCACACACACACACACACATATATATAAGGCGGATTTGAACAGTTGTAGTACGTGTTTCTGAAACTGATGAGTATGATGGAGAGGCTAATGTCAGTGACATCAACACCAACATACTATGGAATATCAGCCTTTTTGTGGGAGAGCGCTGATTCGGAGCATCGAACATCAATGTTACAACGGAAAAGTATAGGCTGTAGGTGAATTCGTAGACCAGACTGGTTCGTAGACGTGGAAATCCGGTGGATTCGTAGACGGATTGAGCGGTGGATTCGTAGACGTTAGTAAAATGGGAAAAGTTCAACCTCAAAGATGAAAATCGACGAAAAGTGTTTGCATTTTATGAAATCAATAAAATATATCAGGTAAGTATACACTTAAGAAAACACTTACACCTCCTACACAGAGTATTTCGCAATCAAAACAACTCACCACTTCCTAATTAACATTCACAACAACTCATTGAAACCTGTTAATCCACATTCACAACAACTCAGTGAAACCTGTTAATCCTCCCACAACAATGAAAACAGTCGGGAAATTATGATGAGTAGATTAATTTTGTCCTTATCATCAGCCTTATCATCGTCACCGAACCCTACATCTCCTTATCATCATTTGCGTGATAATGGTGTTACTACTGTGACACGTGCTGTTGTTACCTATTGTTGTTGATCATAAATATATTACATTATCACTCTTCCATAACAATTAATGTTGTTTGTCTTTTACGTTTTACGACGCTTCATCATGTAAAACAAGTCTAGACGAGACGGGAAAATATTCGTTCACTCTTAAATCACACTTTCTTGTCCTTAGCTGCCCTTAGTTTCGTATCACTGAAAACGAAGCATAACAACTTCGTTATACACATTCTAAGTAAAAATCAAACTTAATATATACTATTATTCAATTATTAATACACGTCTACGAAATCACCGTCTCGAACCAGTCTGGGTTACGAATCCACCGCGTCTACGAACTGGTTCAGTCTACGAAATCACCGTATCCCAAAGTATATCACTAACCTATAAGAGTGAAAGAAACGTTTATAATTATAAGTGTTTTATTTGTGGCTAGCAAACTAAAAGCAGAGGAAACCCTAAAGTTAGACACACGAGCAAATGTGGCAAACCATGGATCATACTCGGGGTAAATTCTGGATCTAACCCACGACCACGCAGCGAATAGTGATACGTCTGTTATATATGCCATCTGATAGATACCCTAGACAGTGTTATGATATGATGTTAATGTACGATAACAACGGGAAGACTAACTGGGTGACTAACATTCGAGAATTGTTAAATACAATAGGTTTTGGGGAGGTATGGCAAAGGCAAAATGTTGACTTTCATACAAATTTTGTGAATAATGTTACTCAAAGGCTCAAAGATATATATACACAAGAATGGGTAGGAGCACTGTCATTGTCAAGTAAATGTTTCTATTATAGAATGTTTAAATCCCATATATACACAGAGAGAATTATCTGCTCTCACTAAATATCAAGAAATTTCGAAAGGCTTTTGCTCGGTTTGGATGTTCCTCACATGACTTGGCAATCGAAACAGGGAGATATCATAAAATAGAAAGGGAAAATAGAATTTGTACATTTTGTGATCTTAATTGTGTAGAAGATGAATATCACTTCCTCTTAATTTGCCCATATATTGTGAGTTAAGAAAAAAAAAATTCCCAAGATATTATTCTGTATATCCCGATAGGGTGAAATTTTCTTTGCTAATGAGTACTGGTGACAATGTTCTTATCCGTAAGTTGTCAACCTATCAAGCATTTTCTCTAAGAAATAAACATAATAATTCATAGAATGTATGTACTCATATGGTTATTTGTTACGATATGGTATGATGTGGTGCGATATGATATGATATGATACATGGTATGATATGCATGATCTAATATGGGTTGTTATGATATGATGTGATACGACAAAGTATGTGTAATGCGATGTTATATGATGTGATACATTTTGATGCGATATGACATATTGTGATTTGACTATTTCCATTCTTTTCTATGATATTGTGTACTATGTTCTTGTATACTATGGGCCTGTGGCCTTCAGTATGAATAAAGATTGATTGATTGAATAGTGATGCTATTCAAGGACAGAAACTCTGCACTGCGTGTCTTTAACAGACTTGAATGTACCACAGTGCTAAAGGGTTGGCTTGGTTTGCACAAGATCTGGGTTCGATTCCCAACACTAACTTTGACCAGTGGGTACTATGAATCGAGGCAGTTGTTTGGAAAACAGAACCTCTAAAGACACGTCTACATGAAAGAAATACAAAATTTTAGAAACATTGGACCGTATTCTAGACCTTTGCCACAATTCGTTCGTATTCGCTATTCTCCATCCCGGTACTGATGACGACTGTTAACCTTGACATAGATAAAACCTAGGCTGACCTTGACATGATGTTCAGTTGATACGTTACCATTCTACAAGGCAATGTACTCAATTTACTCTAACTTAATGATGGACGTAGTAAAATACCATAAGATAAAGTACGTATGTCGAGTGACGACCAAAGAAACTAAACAAAGGCTATTGTTACACAATGAGTCTATGACTAAACTAAAATTAAGAAACTTATGTGCAGCAAAATGTGTATATGTTTAACCATATGGAAACGGTTCATAGCATACATACGAAACGATACCACTTGCAAGTGAATGTGTGGATCAGTCTTATGTTGGTATGATTAACAGATATACACGTCCATTTCATATCGTGCTATAATAAAAGCTGATATCAGTATAGTGACTGACACCGACTGCCCGCAAAGATAAACTGATTAACCAAATTAAAGGTATCTGTTTAGACTTCCCAGTGCTAGTTTACTGCATACACAAAACTAATAGTAGTGGTACCGTCATCGTGGTATAGTCACGAACAATACCATCCGATGACTGGTGGTCACGAGGTGTATGTTTATTTCAAAGAGAAATTCCCTCGTACGTATGAGTGTATAATCTAAATATAGCAGACGACAAGATCCGTTTTCGTGTTCGTCTTTTCGAGCAAACCAAATGAATATTTATATATGGACACATCCACACATAGCTGTACAAGAATATGCATTTTACAATAAAGTCATTAATTAATGTACGTTAATTATATCAAGATTATGATACGTTAAGATGAAATTCACGAACAAATAGCTCATTACCGGCAGAAATGACGTAATTTCATGTGACATTGACAATTGCGCATGCGCCGAAAGTAATCTGCCATATTACAGGAACACCTCACAAAATATTGGCAGATTTGTCTAAACACCTGTGGTAAATGAGAAGAAATACCGGATTAGATTTGTGGGGTCGATAGCAGATTGATATAAGTTGTCACCGAACTGAAACAAAATGTCTGGCTTCGACAGCAACCCGTTTGCAGATCCTGAAGCGGCCAACCCCTTCTCAGTGAGCATTTTGTCTTATTTTCATGATTTCAGAAACAGGAAGTCGGCGTGTACTGGCAAATTATGTTGCCTTCATATCAAATTTGATGATCTGTTGCCCGTCGTTTGTGTTTTTATGTGGGTAAAAGAAAGAAAAATGAACCTAAGAATGTCTCTATAATTAATTATCGATTTTTTCGCGAATGAAGCATGAATCATGAAGCAGACTGAATGTCATTTAGTAGCCTATATGTTTTTAACACACGCAACCTCCTTTCTGATATACTAAACGCAAATGTCGATCCTAAACAATGTGGAACGTCTATATACTAAACGTAGTGTTGATCATGGGCTGTGTCCAAGAACATGTCACAAGTGATAATATATTTTGAACACTGTGTTGATGGTCAAAACCAGTGGGGATCATTCATCCCATTGAGGTTTCAGTTTCTTTTCGTCATCTAAAGCATGATCTAGTGTATATTTATGTTTCAAAGCTACAGACTGGACTGCAGCTTACTAGGTGCATGATCACAGGTCTGTCTGGATCCAGCTGCAGGCAGTGGCTCTTGTTTTGTGTGCTTAATTATTCTTTGGGGTTAGTTATTTTAGGGCAACTCTGTCGTTAACCCTTGGCCTTGGAACCCCTTTTCAATTGAGCACCCAAGTGTACACCCCTTGACAATCCTTAGGGTAGGGGGACCTGTGAAGATCTGGGTTAGAATTGGTCTTCTGTAACCCATGCTTGTCACAAGAGACGATCGGGTGGACAGGCTCATTGACTTGGTTGACACATGCCCTCGTATCCCAGTTGCATAGATCAGTGCTCATGCTTTTGATCACTGGATTGTCTGGTCCAGACTCAATTATTTACAGATCGCTGCATAAAACTAACTCACTCACTACTTACTTTCTTGTACGTCTTAAATTAGATTACAAATAAAGCTGTGAAATGTGTACAATAGGACATTCATTAACATTCCACTTTGTAACACCTGCACTGTCACTTGATGGAAAAGCACGAGCTTCAGGTATGAAGACGATAATAATCATAACATCGTAACACTACAACCTCTATTATTCATGTCTTTTATAATGAATAGCATTTGCACTTGTGTTTTGAAAGGGGTCATCAAGTAAATCAGCTGGAATATTGCTGAGTGTGGCTTAACACGAAACTTACTTGCTCACTCACTCATTAGCTTTAGGATGACATTCCTGAGGTGTGTTATTCTTTACTATTGGTTAGCTATTTCATCTGTTTTAATGTGTTAATCCGATGTTATTTGAGGGGAACCTGTGCAGATTTTTTACCATGTTTATAGGTTTGTATATATATATATATGCATCAAGTTAAAAAGCAGTAATTATTTATGATAGCCTCTGTGGTACTGTGGGAAAACTTATTACATTAACATTAGCCTAGAGTCCTCCAGGTGGTGCTAATTGAAATCTGAAAAGTGTGTACCTGGTAAACTGGAGTCCTCACTAGTTACAAACAATGAACATTGAGCGTCATATGCAGGTTCACATGCAGGAATAAATTAGAATTACTTTGGATGCTATCCATTCTTTATTATCTCCAGGGTATACGTTCTGATAAATCGCCACTATACCCTGGATGCATATACGACTCGAGCCGATGATTTTATTACCTCCCTTTGCTGGCTCCGCATTCTCACAGTAGCCAATCAGATAAGTCGCCATTACAACCGAGCTTGCCAGTGTCAACAAAGATAGTGGTCGCAGCCGCAAAAGTTTGGTCACAGTGCGACTCAGATTTTGGGGAAAACATTCAGACAAATTGACAGGTTTGATATCTTAAATAAATATATGCAAGAACTCCTTCTACCTCTTTCAGAGTACCTCTGCAACAATATATTATTATGTTGCCAAGTTTAATCGGTTAGATAATTTAAAAAGTGAAAGTGAGTTGTGATTGGTATGCTCAACTTCCCAGCGTAGACACCTGATTGGATAAAAAGCCAACCAAGGGAGGTAATAAAATCATCGGCTAGAGTCGTAGATGCATCCAGGGTATAGTGGAGATTTATCGGAACGTATACCCAGGAGATTATCGAGGATGGATGCTATCTAACTACTTGGCATTTACGGCTCAGATGATTCAGATCCTAAGGACACACACCATGCTTGCCTTTAAATGGATACCTGTCAGCCATATGGGACTTTTGACAGGCGCATGTTCATTTTGAAAAATGTGGGCACAAAACTGGATATAAGCAAAATATGATCCTGCATGGATTTGTTTGTATAGTTGATATGATTAAACGTAGAAATTATATAGCAAAGCCTTTCGTTGATGTTTAAAATCAGGCATCAACATAAAAAGGTTACACAACATAAAGTTCCATGAAAATATTCATTTTTATCAGGGCCACATTTCAAAACACAATACTTATCTGGTACAAGAGGAATTGCTCTTATTTCAAATATAATCTCAACAATTCTAAAAATACATTCTTTGAGTATAAAACTGAATGCAGCACTGCATTTAAAGTAATTTATGTAAGCCCTGTTATTTATTGTTGACTTGATACTGATAGTATTAGTTCTATACATGTTATTGGGTTATTCTTCACATCGCCAGTATCTATTTGACATTGACACCTAATTACAGTAACATACACTATTGTGTTGTGTGTAAAACTGTCCTTTCTTAAAAATTATTACACCTTGCAAATAGTGACATGATCTCTGTCAATCAATGTATAGAATGAAATGGCTTATGTTAAATGAGCATTTGTGCTTCACTGATCATACATCAGGTCGTTGAGGTAGCAATATGTCAGACTAAATGTAACAGGAAGCAAGATGAAGATCATGAGCATGGTGACAAAACTGTCCTTAAGTATGTTTAAAGTAATACACAATATGCAACCTCTGATTTCCTTTTACCATGTTTACAGAGGTAAGACTGATGCTAAGGAGAACCATGGGTTTTCAGTTCTCATGGTCAGTGTCATTTAGACCTATGACTCATTGCACTCATCCTTCTTATACAACTCGTCACGCCGAAGACCCGGGTTCAAATCCCCACATGGGTACAATGTGTGAAGCCCATTTCTGGTGTCCCCCGCCGTGATGTTGCTGGAATATTGCTAAGCGGCGTAAAACCAAACTCAGTCAGTCAGTCTTATACAACAGTAACCCCTTCACCATGCTCTCTTACCTTTTGGTTAAACTATTCTTTTATGATCATTTTGTTTGTATTCTGGGGCTGTGGGGTAGCCTAATGGTTAAAGCGCTATATTCAGAAATGGGTACAATGTGTGAAGCCCATTTCTGGTGTCCCCCGTTGTGATGTTGCTGGAATATTGCTAAAAGCGGCGTAAAACCAAACTCCGTCAGTTGTTTGTATTCTAGGAATTCTAGGAATACAAATTTGAAATATTCAGAAAAAACAAGGTTCACAGAGAGGAAACAATAACATGGGATAATGGTCCATTGAAGAAACACTTTAAATTACTTAATCATGTTCAAGGCAGCTGTCTTTGGAGCATTGTATTATTTCTGGGCAAGTGTTGCTAATTGATGGTGACACAGAAGGCTATTTTGTATTTTGATTAATTTTCTAAAATATACTCAGAAGCAAAAGTTGTTGTGGCATGCACTTTTATCAATGGGAATCAATTAATTTTTTATTTGAACCAGAGAAATTGTGTTAGATGGTCAAAGAAACTCAACAAAGCAGTTTTTGATTGAATTGCAATGTAATTTACAAGAAACTGACATTGTTCACTTTAAAAGGTTCGTCAAGCAGAATCTTGTGGTTTCTACTCAGTGCACTATTTGGCACTAACTGCGATGTTTACAGCAAACAATCAAGTTATGTACCTTCCCCATAGTGGCCACCTACTAGTAACGATGCTACGTCATGACTAGTGGATTCGAACCACAGGTTCCATCCAGCATCCCACACAGCCCTTACCATACCTGGCAACAGATGTATCTGCGAGAACAGTTTGATCGTCTACACATCTATGCAGTATGACAGTTCTGCCTCCAGCACATTGATGTTGATGTCTTAAGTGGAACAAACAAACATGTGATTGGGAGCATGTGAGTGGAGGTTCGATCTTTTCAACAATGAGTCTGATATTTCTTTCTTCACCGAGCTGACAGAAGGACATGTGTCTGCAGATGCGGAGGTGAACATTACATCGGGCCATGTGTTCTGAAAAGGGATTATTTTGGAGTTGGGGACTTTATAATGTGGGGTTGGAAAAAAGATGCATCAAGGATGCCACTGATTGTGATTGCGGGGATTTTGAATGCTGTTGGGTACCAAGATGAGTGAGTGAGTTTAGTTTTACACCACACTCAGCAATATTCCAGCTATATGGTGGCGGTCTGTAAATAATCGAGTCTGGACCAGACAATCCAGTGATCAACAGCATGAGCATTGATCTGCGCAATTGGGAACCGATGACATGTGGTCAACCAAGTCAGCGAGCCTGTCCACCCGATCCCATTAGTCGCCTTGTACCGCACAAGCACAGGCTACTAAGAACAATATTCTAACCCAGACCTTCACGGTCGGTACCAAGATGAAATTTTGCCATTGGCAGCTTTACCATTGAAACAGAATGGCACAAGACATTTCAACACAATGATGATAGACCACATGTTGCTCGAGTTATCATGGTTATACATCAGTGCCCGTAATCAGAACAATGTTAATGTGTTACCCTAGCCTGCAGGATTCTCTGATTTGTTGCCAATTAAACATGTCTTGAATAAGATTGAGTGACGTTTCGAATCGTCAAATAGCGCTGCAGTAACTCTGCCAAATACTTCCCCAGATATGGAATGATCTTCCTCAGGACTTTCATTACCATTTATTGGCCTAAATGAGGTGAAGATGCCTGGCCTGCGAACTTGCTTGTGAAGCCCCTCTTGTGTTGTGGCTCATTTGCATATGCCAGACTGTTCATCATTACCAATACCATACCATGAAGCAGTTGTCTATCCATGTAATAACCTTTCAAGTTTCACTCACGGCAGTAAAAGTTTAACATTGATTCTGTTTGCCATTTGTGTGCCACAATAACTTCAGCCTTTGAGTGTATCAGCAGGATAAAGGATAACTACAGTCTTAACAATAATATCACTAGAAGTTTCACAACCTATGTGTTCACAAGTTTCACAACATGTACCAGGTGCAGTTAATCATAATTATGGTCCAAATAATAATTAAACTTAATCCTTAATGGTGTTGTCATTGTTCCTGATGCAATATTTATGTATATTATGTGTGGAATAATAAATAGTATTGGAGATAATATTTTCATGACAGTTATTTCACAATTCACCTTTTTCTATCATCAAGTTTGTTCTAAGTTTTAATCCTGAAGTGAAACTGTACATTAATGTGTATGATGTGTTACCACAAATTTAGGCTCAGTACAGGGTGTAAATAAACCCTTTTTTTGTTTGTAGTTTTGATTTCCTCCAGGATGCCCATGGTAGTGTGAATTTTGTTAATTTGGGTTGATCATCCAGAAAGCTGCACATGTTGTTAGTGTATGAATTCCCACTGTACTACTACTTGTATATTCATTGTTATAACTGACTGACACTTCACAGATGTCGCTTCATGAAGATGCTTGCAAATATTATGTTTTCAGGGGGCGGTGGAGTAGCCTAGTGGTTAAAACGTTCGCTCGTCACATAAGATCCGGGTTCGATTCACCACATGGGTACAATGTGTGAAGCCCATTTCTGGTGTCCCCCCGTTGTTATATTGCTGGAATATTGCTAAAAGCGGATCACTTACTATATTTTCAGGAAAGACAAATGAAATATTTTATGAAATTGTTAATCCCGATCTGATAATTGATTAAAATGATAAATGTAAGAGAACATATTTTGTATGTAGTTAGTGGGGTAGTCTAGTGGTTAAAGCGTTGGCTCGTCACGCCGAAGACCCGGGTTCGAATCCCCACATGGGTACGATGAGTGAAGCCCATTTCTGGTGTTCCCCGCCGTGATATTGCTGGAATATTGCTAAAAGCGGCGTAAAACCAAACTCACTCAGTCAGTCAGTATGTAGTTAGTGAAAGGATTTCTGTATCTGTTCATTGATATGATTAAGTTTGTTATCATTGCTATCACCACTGCATTGCATTACCATATATATGGGCAAATAATGTGTGCCATACTTGGATCATCATATTCAAAAAGCATATGGACATAAAACAATGCTTGGTCAGTAACTTTGTATGGAAGTGTTTCATATTGCAAGGGTTGACTTGACCCATAAATATTTATAAGCAGTCTTATTTACTGTTCTGGATTACTTGATGGTAAAGTAGTCCTATATATATATATTTCAATAAATCTTTAGCATTGATAGTTTTTCAAACTTTTTAGATTACCAGTATAATTTCATTTATTTACATAGTAAACATGTAAATGTATAAGGAAGTTAAAAAGCCGTGTTTAGTGTTCTAGTTTCACAAACAACATTCATTATATTTGTAGGCTGTATTGCGCCTGTGGTTTTGAAAATTATTTTTTTAAAGAGGAGTTTGTGTTTCCTGAAATTAAATCAAGAACATGATTAAGATAACGTTTATTCATAAGCATAATGTAGGTGGTTAACAAACATATCACATTACCATCAGAATGTGATCATGCTGATCAGCACTGATGAAGGCAACTGCAGTTTCAAATAACAAGAAAGTAACAAGGAGACATTTTCATAGCTTTAGTGATTGTGTCTTGATGCTTGTTTGTTAAATCATTTTTACTCTTTCATCTACATCTTTGACTCATACAATTGTATTGTCAATCTATTTTAGTGGGCTAGGGTATTTAATGCCAGTGCCATGTGTGTAATATCAGCTGCGAAGTGCTGTCACACTAGGCAATTATACATTATGTTCCAATTCAGCAAGGTGATAACTGACAGGCATCAACATGAAAATGATATTCACTGTGCGCAGCAGGTGAATCTTGACAGTGTGATACTGCAGTGTAACAGCTCTGAAGCTGATGGCGTCTGACACTCAGATGCACAGTGGACTGACAGTTGTCATTATGGTGAGGGACTTCGGATTTAATTATTACTGAGATCCTAAGTGTGGACAGAACATGTACTCCACACAGCTTTGTAGGTTTAGGAGGAAGAAGACAACATATTGAAGGGTTCAAGGATTTATGTGCTGATGTCATTTACTGTGATTCTGTGTAAGGTATTGAGTACGCAACATTAACTAGGTCTGCTGCATGTTCCAGTAAAACAGAAAGAATCTTTTGGTGTCATTTTAAAATTTTCAATATGATTTTAATTTTTCAAGATGTGGATAGGTATTTTCTGAGCTTACATGTGTCAAATCAACACAAATATTGCTGGATTCAGGTTTCATACTAGTGGCCGAGATTACACAGTAGTGTGCCGAGAGCGAACAATTTTTACATACAGCTATTTGTTTGTAATATAACAATCATAACATTTTACTTCTCTCTAGATGTATAGAGCTACTCAGTCCAGTACAAGATATCCTTTGAGATGGACAATATTGTAGCCATGATGCTTGGTGTCTGGTCTGTTTGATTTGACAGTTTCACATCTGATTCTTGATGTTTGTTCATGGTGGCCACATTACCTGTACAATAGTGCAGGTACTGGTTATTGATGACGACCTGGCTTCTAGGATGCTAATTAATGTAGCACAGCTCGGTCTGCAGAAATCAATACTGTGCTATAGAGTGAACATGGTGTAACGTTGCTGCTGATTGCCAGACTGTATGCTTCAGGCACAGTTTGTATGCAGTGGCTGAGACTTGCCTAGTCTGACCAATCTTCTGGTAAATGCAGCCACTACATGTCATTAACGTACATAGTGCTTGAGATTGCCGTGGGCCCTGAAAAATCAAACGAGCATCCCATTTCTGAATAATATAGCTTCCCAGATCCAATTTTTCTTTTAAATGGCCCATGAATTTGGAAGATAATGGATCAGTTGGCCCATGAGCAGTCGATCAACCCGAAGGCCTGCTAAAGGTCTGCATATTAGAGGAAACTATTTCATTGATCATATTGAAGTAATTTGACCTAGTCCATACAGTCTACGAGTGTTATTAGACTTGGTTTTCTTCTGGATTTTCTTGAAAGACAGTTTGAAACTTGTCAGTTTCATTACTATGCACATTCTATGTACTGTGCATTATATTTATGAGGAAGGATGTGATGATGAATAATCTTCATATTCACTGCCTTTGTGGATAAAGGGAGCATTAGTGAAACAGATAACTACAGCTTTGTTTCAGCTCGTTCTTAAAGGAAAAATCACCCTAAATATATCTGGGATAATCTGAAGGTATTGTCACAGTGTTCCGTGTTTTTGGATCAATAACCATTGAGCTTTGACATTGTTGAGGTACTATGTGCTAAATGTGAATTTCTAAGGATCAAGACAAGCATGATGAAGTGGTGGTTAATACCAGGTTATATCACTGGTTATTTTCCACAGTGTCATGAGTTGAGAAAACCTATTGCATCCATGGTGGCTCTGAACCCAACTCGCACACAGAATGTATGGATGATGTTGTATCACTGGTTATTTTCCACATTGCCCTGAGTTGAGAAAACCTATTGCATCCATGGGTCAGGACCCAAGAATGTATGGATGATGTTGGTTCCAGGACCCATCTGTCCAGCAGGCTGCAGGGTCAGGACAAGGGGGTGGACAGAAAGCTGGGGGGCTCGACGACTACAACCCTTTTGCCGAGGGCAACCAAACCAGACCAGCATCAGGGGTAACTGAACATGCTAAATGTGTTTATTTCATATCCAGAGTCCATTGTCTCAAAGAAACAGACATTCTTGGTTATAAAACTGGATGTAGTCTGTATTTTGTTAAGAAATGTTTCAACTAGATTATTATACACTTGAATATATTTAATTTTGTTCTGTATTGGCTCATGAAGCATAAGAGGAAGAATATGAGGCTATGATCTTGAGATATTGTGTTTTATTTATCCTCCTTGGTTAGGTTACATTTGCCCAGCAGTTAGACCCAATTTATTAAGCCTTCTGTTTGAGAATTGTCTTCATCATAGACCTCTATCAGAGGAGAGCTTCATATAAGATGGTGCAATACAATACAGTTTGTGTATGTGATTAGAATTTGCCTTTCAGTCTAATGCCTCTACCACCCCACTGGTGCCACCTCCTCAACCTGCTCAAACTCAGCCGGCCATCATGACCCCATCAGAAGAGCCCCCACCGCCCTACACACAATCTGCTGCCCAGAAGATAGACACAAGTGAACTTCAGAGGAGGCAAGAGGTATGTCCACCATTGTGAATACTTCACAGATTTTGTCATTCCCCCACTACCCCATAATACAGATATTGACAGTAGCATGTGTCTGTTTTGGCTGTTTATGACTTATGGAAATCAACTGAACATTATTCCATGCAACTACCATTGTCTTTGATTGCAGAAATATGCAACGCTTTGACACATGTTGCATGATGACTATTGTATTTTTAAAAAAAAATTAATTGAATGCAGTCTCATTTTTTCTGAATGAGACTTTGGGGACTTCCACACACAAAAATTCCTAATGGCACAAAAACTGAAATATCACTGCACCCAAAGGCCACAACACAAAATCCAAAAACTGAAATATACTACCCATCAAAAGTTTAGACTCACTAGTGTAATTGTAGCCACTTACTCCAGTCAACTATTCTAAACTAGATTTTGCAAAATATTCAATTCTGTTTAAAGATACTGTTTACACATGAACGGATGTATTGTAAAACAAATTAGTAACGTTGAAAAGATTGTCATGAGTTCAATAATGATAAAAATTGGCTAATTCTTAACAAAACTTTACATAAAAATGCATCTGTTCACATACACGATATTTGCACATGCTTTTCAGCAATTTGATGCATGATCCTTGTGCAGTTCATCTGCATAAGGTTTGCAGTTAGTTCCACCAAGTTAGTGGAGAAATTCATCTTCGATGTAACCATATATATATATATATAAAGAAAGTGATGAGAATACCGAGCGTACAGCAAGAAATAATACTACCCTAGTGGCAGCAAGAGTTGTATACTCCCTAGGGAGTTGAGATTGATAATACAATGTGCCGTTAAATGTGCCGAATGTGCCGAAAATACCAGCGCCTTGAGCATGTACTAGTTGCATGGATATGTGCGCTATATAAATATGTATATATATATACATATAGTGAGTGCTTTAAGTCAGTCTAAACTTTTGACGGGTAGTATATATTCCTATGTCATACCTCATACTATTGACTTCTCTACATCTTCACCTCACCTCACCTAACCTTCTTCAAAAGTAATAGTATACATGTTTCAGTGTCCAAACATCAGTTGTGATAGGTTTAGAAAAAAGTACTGAATGGATTGACTGCTATGTAATTCCTGATTTGATCAGCTGCAATAATCACTTATGGGTGGGAATGAGTTGTGCCCCTTGCATCAAGAGGCCAAATTGGCTTCATTAACTTTCATGTTAAGGGCGCACGGTGGGCGAGCTGGCTAAGGTGCCAGGCTACTGATCCAGCGAGGTTGAGGTGCCGGGATCGAGCCCACCTGTGACCGGGTGTAAAAAAACCCTTGGAGTCAACTTTGTGTGCAGACTCAGTGTTGTCACAACCCCTAGTGTACAGTACACAAGCCGGTGCACTTAAAAGAACCCACGAATCCATTGGTATATGACCAGATGGTGGCCACATGAAAACGTGCAAACACCTAGTTGGGGGTACAGCAACGTGCATTGAAGTTGGACAAAGTATTTCAGGGCTCCAGATAAGGGCCGTATCGGCATATGTACGGCTAAAAAATATGCATGATACGGTAGGAAATAATTTAGAAAACGTAGCAGATACGCATCACAGCAATGGTGTACGGTCTCAGAATCATTTACAGATGTATTTATCTGAAAAAGTATTATTTTATTGTTTATTGCCCTATTTACACAAAAGTAGCAATGTTGTGCATATATGAAACGAAACACAAGATTACTGATACTGCATTAAATTCCATTCAGTACTCAAAATGTACTCTTAAGGTTTTCCAGTTCTCCTATATTGCACAAATAAGGAGTATGTACTCCTGATGTTGAAAAATTATCTGGAGCCCTGGTACTGTGACTATGTGTCCCAGTCCACCCAGCTGTGAAATGGGTACCTCGTTAGGATGAGAAAGCCACCATAACTCGGTGTGCCTAGTGGCAGCAAGAGTTGTATACTCCCTAGGGAGTTGAGATTGATAATACAATGTGCCGTTAAGATTGACATCCAATGATCGGGGAGAAAATACCAGCGCCTTGAGCATGTACTAGTTGCATGGATATGTGCGCTATATAAATATACTATAATAAAAATAAATGTTATTCTTTCACCTATTGTGTTTACAAATGACATGATTTTACAATTTATGCTTGTTTGTTGTTTTTTTAAAATGCATTGAATTTATTTATTTTTAAATGCAACTGAAATTGAAACTGCACTATGCGAAAACAAACACTCTTGTTCACTTGAGGAAAATGATACAAGAGTTGATTTTAGATGAAATGAGGTTATCAACATATTGGGTATTAAGTTCAAATGTACCAGGGCTTTGTTTTCTAGTATCCTAAAAAAATTTACCTTTTGTTAACTTTAGGAAAATGAAACGAGCAGATTTTAGATGAAATGAAGTATTGTGTTCGCAAGTAACAGAGTTTGACATGTTAGAACGAATAATTTCTTCTTGTAGAGGGTTTTTATGTTTATTGCCCTTTCTCTTAAAGGAATTAGAAAAGAAAGCTGCTGAGCTTCAGAGGAAAGAACAAGAAATGAAAAACATGCAGTTCAAAGGTCAGTATTCTAGTTGTCAGATAAGTGACAGAATTATCACAATCCGCTTGCCCAGTGCTAAAGGTGTCCCTAGTGTTAGTTGGTTCCAAACCATTGGAGTTAAATGTTATGACTTGAAGAGAATGTACACTTTCCAACTTTCCAGGTTTATTTGTATACCGTGTCATCATATCCCAATGGCGTAGATCGATGCTCATGATCACTGGATTGTCTGGTCCAGACTTGATTAGTTAGAGACCGCCACCATATAGCTGGAATATTGCTGAGTGTGGCGTAAAACTGAACTCACTCACTCATTATTTATCTCCCGACGCACGTTTAGCGCGAAGGCGGGGATATAGTATTAGGCTCAGTCTGTCCGTACGTATCAAATTGGAATATCTTAAGAACTGTTGTCTAGATTTTTTTCATATTTGGTACCTAGGTTTATCACAGTATAAGAAAGGTCCCAGTCGGGTTTGGTGACCTTGACCTTCATTTCAAGGTCACAAGGGGACTTTAACGTTTTACTCTTGTCAGCGAGATGTCTCAAGACCCAGTAACTAGATTTTCGTCATATTCAACACCAAGCTTTATCTTTGATTTGATAATTTGCGGCGGGGGATTATGTCACCTTACTGTTGTGTATGTATTTGCAATTCACATGCAATTTAGGAAGAGTACACACCTTTTAATTTTGGCTTATAAGTTTGATGTACTAATACCTTGTTGGCATAAACATTTTGTCTGTAGTGCCTTCTTTGTGTGTACATTTTCAGACCGTCAGAACAACTGGCCACCTCTGCCAAGCTGGTTCCCTTTGGGCCCTTGCTTCTACCAGGACTTCAGTGTAGATATTCCATTAGACTTTCAGAGGATTGTCAAGTTTGTCTATTACCTCTGGATGTGTAAGTAATGCACTACCTTCAGCTCACATTTCTGTGTTTCCTGAAACTTCAATGTCAAGATGTCATAGTTTTCAAACAAGGCATGACCATTGGCTGAACTGTTAAAACATCACAATTGACCCATAAATGATGATAAGATACAATCATAGTTAACATTGATGCCGTGCTATGATCACGATAGATGCAGTAAAATCATATAAATACTGTAAACGTACTTATTTTGTGGTGGTGCATCAGCTGAGTCAATTATTCTAAAGTCAGTAATTGCGGAACTGCCAGCTTCTCTTTGGCACCACTAATGCAGTGAAAAACAAACAGAGTGGAACAACCTGTCAGGGTGGCGTTTATTAGTGTACTCACAGGAATACCTATGTGTGCACAATATACAAGCCGGGGTTGTGAATGGATGATTGAGTGTTAAAGTTTGCTATTAAACTTCATGATGTACTGGTATATAAAATCTTAATGAATAAATAAAATTCTGCTGTATTATTTCTTTCCGAGTCGTTTCATGGTAATCTGTTTTGTATCAAAACCATCTGTCACTACGATTGGTCAAAATAGAACATGTGACCAATTTCCATGGCGGACCACAACACAAGGACATTGCTGTTTTTAAGCTAATCGGCGATGGGATTTGGCTCATTATTTAATTATGTTTTGGGAAATCCATTACAGCGACAGTTAAGTATGATTCTTTATGCTACTATCAGTCGTCATTTTTACAAGATTCCGTGTGATTTCTGTCTTCAAACTTGATGTGTTATGGTAACAACTCAGGGCGAAATGGCTAGACTAAATGAATGACAGGTTTATTAGTTGTATAAATTTTAAGGCTAAAATGTTTTCCATAAAAATAAAACCTGCGCGAAATATAATACGTTTACAGTACTCATTCATTTACTTTTCCACTCTCTCTGATTTAAAGTGCATCTAGCTTGGAAAGACACATTGGTGTGCATTTAGAACAGGTTTTTCACTTTGTGTGAATACCTTACACTATGAGAGGCGGTGGGATAAATTAGAGGTTAAAGAGTTTGCTCGTCACGCCAAAGACCAGGGTTCGATTCCCCACATATGATACCCATTTCTGGTGTCCCCTGCTGTGATATTGCTGGAATATTGTTAAAAGCAGCATATAACTAAACCCACTCACTCAAACTAGGGCTGAAACAAGGACTTGGCATGCATATTACAGGTGATTGGCAACATTCATAGTACCTTTACAATAGTGTTTTTGAGTATCACAGTACTACCGCAGTTGTAGAACTACCCCTAATCAACTGTTGATATGCTGAGGAGGTCGTGAAATCACCAGTCATTGTGATGATGATCTTAAAACACTTTTGGTCTGATGACAATGTGAATTAAGCCAATAAAGTATACTTCAGCCTTGAGACTGCCTACTTGGATTTTGTCTAAAATGTTTGATATAATCATGAATAAATGGTTCGTATGACTACAAAAGACTCATTGTGAATTGAATTGTTCATTCAGGTATAATATTCCTTGATTAAATTATTATGACCATGTCAAATAGTGATTATCACCTAACTGTTTGTTAATGGTAATTGTGCAAATTGCAACTTCAGTTAATTTTGAAACAGCTTAGTACCTAATATCAAAATGTCAAGTAGAACATCTGTTCTGCTTTGTCTTCCAGTCCATGTATTTGTGTTGTTCCTGAATGTGTTGGCAAGTTTGGCTTACTTCATCGTGGACTCAAATGGAGGCACTACATTTGGCCTGGCCATTTTATGGTTCGTCGTCTTTTCCCCCTGTTCTTTCATCTGTTGGTACAGACCACTCTACAAAGCTTTCAGGTAAGTTGAATACTATTATTGTTCAAATATACATAATGCTATCTTCACCCAACTTTGCAGAGTTGCCTCCCTTAGGTATTCCAGCAACCCATAATTGTAGGTTAGAATTTATTCATTTCCATAAAGACTATTATTCGAAACATTTGTAGTTGTTTGTGAGACAGGATATCAGCCATTTAACGGTGTTTAGGATGATAGATATTGATACTTTAATATAAAAGACAGTATCATGTTAAGAAATTCAATTTTCCACCCTTGAATACTCTGGAGAAATCCCATAAAGCTAAGCTTAGATAGAATCATTGACCAAGAGGGGTTAGTGTGTTAGAGATAAACAAAGAGTTGTCAGTAGAACACAATCATTCAGACATTTAGTCTGTACACCCAGTCCCTATTGAGGTCAGCAGTTACAACAAATTGGGCAGGAGACTAACTCATATTGTCTTGTTTACATATCTTTATATGTCTCAACTATTACTATTATATTAATGTCTATTTTCTTCTGTTTCAGGAGTGACAGCTCATTCAATTTCTTTGTATTTTTTTTTGTATTTTTCTTCCAATTCTGTGTGTATGTCATTCAGTGCTTGGGCATCACAAACTTCACAGTGTAAGTAATGTTTCTTGTAAATTTAATTGTTTCTTTTTGTTCATACAAGTCTTGGACTAGTGGAGCATATCAAAATATGGTCCTGTTTCGTTTTTTTTCTAGGATATCTTTTGTATGTTTTTGTGTCAGAAATTTTACATGGACATTTTATATGCAAACATTGGTAACCATGGTAACATTTTTACTAAGATTTGTCTCAGATTTATTTTGAAACAACTGAAGATTGTTCATAAGGTCAGAGGTCATTTTTAACTGAAAAACAGTTGACAACTTTGAAACAATTCTAACAAACTTCATATTTTGAAAAGGTCATTAACACAACATCACATGAAAATGGCTATGAAGTAATTAATCAAATTTAAACAGATCTATTAGATAAGTGGTTAGTATCCATATGTAACTGTTTTGTTAAGCAGATTGAATAATATTTCATGTTGCAAGTATAGAAATTACAAATTGCAATAATATCCTGATGTAAAAAATTACAGAAAAAATTAGCTTAACATTTGGTTATATGAAATAACATTTTCATGATTAAAGATGGTTTGGTTTCTTGGGTGGCCAAGTCATCTTGGGCACCACATTTCACTGTGATGACTTGTGTCCCAACTGCCATCACAAAACCTATGATTGTGGCTTCGAAATCTTGTCCACACTGATAATGTGATGGTAAACTTCTGAGACCTCGTCACCTCACTTTTTCCTCCCACGATAAAGCCAATATGTCGTGATATAGCTGGAATACTGTTCCAAGTAGCTTGGAACCCGGCTCACTCACTCACTGACCAAAGTTGACTGTGTATTTCAGTGGCATCATCACAGGTCTCTCGACAGTCCGCAACAGTATTGCTGCCGGGCTCATCATGATATTTATTGGCATCTTTTTTGGCCTGTTGGCCATTATAAGCTTTGCCACACTTGTAAAGGTAGAGTTGGGAAGACCTTCCATTGGTTGTGGGTCACATGTATGACTGTTACGCAGGGAATGTTTGTTACGGGAAATTAGCCCAGAAACGGAATATGAGACAGCTGTGTGCATGATAATGTACTTTTATCAACCTATTTCTTCTTGGACAAATTGTGTATGGATAATCGTTTTGTCTTAATTCAAAAGTAAAGAAAAGATATTTATTTATATTAGTCTCAATTTTCCAGTTTCTGTGTACATTTCTCAAGCCTGACATTCACATTGACTTGCAATTACTCAAGAATATCCAGAAAAGTCTTTTGAAACAGCTTTTCTCCAATAAACATTAATGAAAACATAAATAATATGTCAGTAATGTTTGTCGTTGATAAATGGAAATTAGGAATTATTTCCATATCATGTCAGTTCACACCGTGTCTGGCTATACTTGAGTAAGTGCAGGAAGGCAGCTAGATTTAACCCAGCATGTTGCCATTGTCTGTGGTTATTGTCTTGATGGTATTGCATTCTTTCATAGCTAGCTATTCTGTTGCAATAGTTGTTTTTTTCTTGTAGAGGGTGGATTAACGGCCTTGGAATTATAGGCAAGAGTCCAGGGGCAGCAGCTGTCATGCTTATTGTAGCCTTCTTTTTTTCCCTCAAGGCTGTTGCCTGCATGGTTTTGCTCGTCAGGGTAGGTACTTACCAGGGAACTAAAGCAGGATCACTCATATTCATGTATCACTGTAGGGGGCATTGTCGGTAAAGGTGCGGCAGGAGTGTACCCAAGGTTTTTCTGTACTCACAAATGTTCCCCAGTTACTTACTGTATACAGCAGCTTGACAATATGTATGACACTGGAGTCCAGGCACAAATGTACTTTCAGTATTTTTCAAAAGATGAACGGAAACCGGTTTGGGGTTGAGGGAGAGAGAAATGCACACCACACCACACCACACCACACAACACCACACCACCCACACCACACCACACCACCCAACACCACGCCACCTATCGAACCTATCGAACGTGACATTAAACCATCATCTCAGCTTTCCAGGGATTGTTTTTGGTGCATAGTGACCAATAGACTCCTTTTGACTTACAATTGTTGATATTGCATTTCTGTGATCTATTTGACTGAGGTACATGTATGTGTAATGCAGCTGGTGTACATTTCTGTGGTACCTATGCCACAAGGACCTCTTTAGTACCATACTATCCTGTGACTTTTTCCAGATCATTGACACACCATTATGTCTGAATAAGACCAAGTATTGAAATAAACACATTCAACAGTGTAAATGTTAAGAAATAAAGATATTTTTTTTAACCTTTTCATGTTTGGTAGTGATATGCACATCATGTATACGACAGGTACTTGTAACATGAGAACTACCTTCTGTCAACACTGTTATACCATTTATCAATGGTGATATTTACCTAAGTACTTGGATGAATCCATATTCTAGATATGTCGATATATGGGTCCCAGATACAGTTTTTGTTGATTGATTTTTACTGCTTTTGGTATGTGGGCAATTTGTACATTGACTGTTGTTTTGGTATTTGGGGGCATCACTGGTTTGATTACTGTAGTTGGACATTTCGGAACATCGAAGTAGTCATTGTGGACCTTACTTGTTGATTTTGTAGTCATCTATCCCATCTAAAGAAGGGTATCATAGAGATAACTAGGTACAGGAAGATTAGCAGAATATTCCGGACTTGCCTTGCTGATGCATGTAAATTAACAGCATGCAGCTAAACACAGTTGTTTACTGACAAACTACATAATGTATTAGTAGTCAGGCATGGTTGATGTTGTTCTAGTATCAAAGTAGTTCTGCATGTGTGCGTAACAAATAGTTATGTTAGAATGTTCAGAGTACATTCACATAAAAGTAAACTTTGAAGTTTTGTTTGAGTTATTTTTCATGTAAAAAAAATGGTATGAATAATATTGGTATTCAGTGTTTTAAAAAATGTTACAGTATTTCCGACCTGATGTGAGAAGTTAGTTATTGGTATTCCCTGTCTACTCAGTGCCAGTTTGAGTTTAAGTGACCCTACTCGTAGCTTGATGGAGGTATTTGTTGTGCTTTTACACCCACTGGATGTTGATGTGTTCACACTGCCATCTTGGCATGAAAGATCACCTTATAAACAAAATGCAGACACTAATTTTTTATGTTCACTTTTATCATCATTTTTTACAATTCTTTTCTTAAGTGTAACTACCTGGTAAACATTTTCATCCTTTCACTATTTCATGTCACCACAGATTTGTGGAAATTTGATGCATAATCAAAATTATCCCTGTATGCTGTCAACTTCAGTTTCTTCGCATTAGTAATGATCTGTTCATGTTGTAAAATAGATGTAAACTTGACTTGACAATGAAAGATTTGTAGCATAATGTTCATTTAGTGGAAAGTTTTTACTTTGTATTCGTGTCAAAATGTGGAATATACCTTTTGATTTCAGATGACTGATTTTGTTATTTTCAGGTGCATAGGATCTATCGCAGCACTGGAGCCAGTTTCCAGAAGGCCCAGCAGGAATTTGCGACAGGTGTCATGCGCAATGAAGCCGTACAGAACGCTGCCGCAAATGCCGCTTCTGGGGCTGCTCGTGGTGCTGCTCAGCAATATGGGTCTGGAAACCGATATTGAGCAACGCATCACTAAGGAATACTCTCGTCCAACATCAGAAATGTGCAGTGAGAATTCTGTTTCTGGGTGAGACAGAAATCTCCATACCCTGGAGCTACCTTGGAGAATGTGAAAGTTCACACTAAGGATCAATGTAATGGATTTTGTCAATCTTCTAATAGGACAACTTCCCAAAACAGTTGATGTTATTTGTTATATTTTAATTTATTCCCCTGTCACTTCAGAACAGTGTAGAACTCCACATGAGGGGAAATGGTAGAACTGTTTGTGGACATCTCGGCAAAGAAGATTGTTTTTTTTAGAATCACCTTCAATTCATGGTAGTCCCATGATGAATAGGACAAGTGGCTAAGCTTACATGGATATGACTCATATCCCCAGGGTATTGGGTTAATCATACTTTAGAGTCTTGCAATATGCTTGTACACCCTGTTGCAATCAGAGTTTGAGAGATATTGTCAATCATACAGGGACCATTCCAGCCTAGGTATCAAATTGGCTAATGTGGATACCTTTTATTCTGCTTTGCATTACCATTTTCATAAAGGCCTTGGATCATTCATTCAGTGCTGGGTAGAAATGATAGACTTTTTACAATCCAAATCATTGTAGATTAAAATAATTGTCAACATTGAAGTTAAATAAGTCTTATAGTTCAGGTAGAGAGAGAAAAACCGAAGTTTCGACTAGTTGTACTTCGAAATAATTCATTGGATTTTGTCCAGTCCAGTATTGCATGATGAAAATTTCATTTTGTTCAATCTTTTTATTACTAGCAATGGTTTGATAAATCTTTATCTTTGTGTGTATATTTATTAACACATAAACAGGATTACACATCATGTGCACACTTCTCACTGCATCATGCAAGTATGCATTTACCTTAAATTATAATAAAATGCACCTGTTTATATCAGTATCTAGCTTATGGACGACAATAAGTATTATTGATTGATATGTAATCATGTTTCCTGGTAGTCAGAGATTCAGAAAATTATTTACGTTAAAAGAACAAGAAAATAAATATTTCTTCATCTTGGTAGTTTGATGCTTACCAAATTGGGGTCGGTGGTGTAGCCTAGTGGTTAAGGCGTTCGGTCGTCACGCCGAAAACCCGGTTTGATTCCCCACATGGGCACAATGTGTTAAGTCCATTTCTGGTGTCCCCCGCCGTGATATTGCTGGAATATTGCTAAAAGCGGCGTAAAACTAAACTCACTCACTCACTTACCAAATTGTTGTTGTAAATTTCTCACATTTTGCATTTAGGATAAACTGCTAGTGTAACATGGGCAGGAACTGTTATCACAGCATCAGTTTCCTGGAAACTCTTTATATTAGGATTCTTTGGAAGTTTGATGCTATTGCTAATAACATTCTTCATTTCCCTCATTGTAGATAGCACAATATTTGATTTACTTCAGTACATTATTTATTGTTTTGATAGACAAACTATATTTGTTTTGGTGTGTACCCTGTATTGGCTAACTTCTTAAAATGGTGACAGATAGGAATTGTGGAAGAAGATGCTGTACTGTTGATCATATTGAGCCTAATGTTTACAACATATAGGTGTGACCGAACGTGAAACATGGGCACCAATCAAGTAATTGTGCAAATACATATGAAAAGAAGAGCGTTGTATATCTCTTGCCTGTGTGTAAATTTTATCATATATTTCAAGATAAATATTCTGTGGGAATGAAAATGTTGTACTGTGCAAATGGACGTTGTCAGCTACCAGGTGTAATTATTTGTCAGCAAATGATAAGAGGGCTAGCTTGTAGTGGTGTCATCAATGTTGAACTGATAAATCACTTTTCGTAGTCCTTGCACAAGTAGGAAGTGATGGTTATTATTGGCTGCTGGTTCTGTCACACCTGCCTGCTATCACAGGTCTGCCCAGACAAGGCACAGAACTTATGGAACAAAATTACATGTTTCATGTAAATATACACTACCAACATTTAATACTGATCATTCTAGCACAACAGCTGTGTCATAGTAGACAACATTTTGATCAAATACCAGAAATCCCCATATCACAATACCCATACTGAAATTTGCTTGGGACATTTTGTTAGCAGTCAAGGGATTTGATTGCCTGATATCTTAAGATTACAAATTATTTGTTTATATGGGTAATATACTGAATGATTCTTGTTGAGTATATGAATTTATGGTTGGGTATTAAATACATGAAAGCTCATGGCTTTGACACGGTAGTTAGTGTAGAATAGTCTTTAACTGGTTTTAACCTTCAAGATACTATGTGATTTTGACCTTGCAGCTGATCATCATGTAGAAAGTCTCTGAGGTGTTTGGAGTACTGAAATAAAGTGGGCACTTCCAGTGTTTATTGTATATAGACATTCTTACTGTGTTGCTTGTTGTTACGATTATCTTCATTCACAGCCTTTTCAATGTGTCAGGTACAAGCCATGAGAGTACTTAAAGGTAGCCATGCTTCTGGTTCGTACGTGTCCTTGTGTCAATGATGAGAGTTGGCCATGTTCATACTTGAAGTTCATTGGCATTCTTTCATTGAAACATAGAAGCATTAATATGTTGGACAAGATACATGAATATGTGCACATGCATATATGAATAAAAATGCTGAAAATTAAGTTTGAAAAAGACCAATAAAAAATAATTATTATGTGTGGTATTAGCTTCTGATGATTAACCAACTTGTATACATCGAAAATTAGATGCTTGTTTTTAAGTGCAAATAATATTTATCTATATTTAGGTCTAAAGCTAATGTTAGCATAATGGTTTGCTACCAACACTGAAAATGTGAATGTGTTCAAGTTATGTGTTTTGGCCAATGTGGTTGTGTCAAAGCTGTACAAAAGCTGCACCTCTGAATCTATCATCCACATGTTTGTCACCCTCTGTTCAAATCCTTCTGTCTGAAATTATTCTCCTCTGCTTGTTGTGGGGTGCATGTACAAAATGTGTCCTGTAAGATATTCAGAATTGGTGAAATTTCTTTTGTGAAAAAGTGAAATATTATGTCAATAAATGAATAATGTAAGATTACTTCTTGTTATCTATTAAGCATGTCTACTAATTTACTCACTGGAAGCTCAGTCAGTCTGTATGTTCATCTGTTTGGTTCCTGGATCATACCTCTAAAACCCTTCGGGAATTTTGAATATGTATTGACATAAGTGGTGCAGTATAAAGTTACTGACATGCTCTGAACTTGCTTATCATCTTTGCGAGGCAAGGGAGTTAACTGACTGTAGAAGTCCCTTGCCGAACGAACCTGGAATTTTGTTGTTCGATCATAGTAATACCAATAGCTATTAGAAGCTTGTCCCTCCTTCGGCAAGGTGGAAAATGGACATAGTCAGTTGCCTGTTTTGCCTCAGGAATATGTTGCAGGGATGATGTTTACATATAGTCAATGTAAGCTCATATTTATGGGTTAATCATATGTCAATCTTCCATGTTGCCTAACGACCACCTCCGTGGTGTAGTGGTTAGAGTGTCCGCCCGGAGAGCGGAAGGTCGCGGGTTCGATCCCCAACCGCGTCATACCAAAAGACGCTAAAATATGGTACTTGTTGGTCCCTGCCTGGCTCTCGGCATTAAATGGGTACAAGGACTGGTCGGCTCGGAGTCGGTATAATGTGTCTGAGTGGGGTATTCATGCTTCACTGCGGTATGGTATCTCAGTGGGCTAGCACTACAAAACCAGCTTCAGTCTGGGCTAGTACAAGCAGCCACATACACATACACATGCATGCATGCAAGTCATCATATGAGCGAAATTTTCTCAAGCACGACGTTAAACCCAATTTCACCTTACCTCACCATGTTGCCTAACAGAGCTGTTCAGTCACGGTCACAAAATAGAGCTGAGCAACACACAAAAACGTATCTATAATTGTTATCAAACTCTACTTATATTTTCGCTTGGACATGGATTGGGCACTGCTATTTCAAGAGTTTAGGCAAGATTGGTCAAAGCTCAAGGCCATGTGGGTGTGTTGTGTTTTATGCAAACATAGTTAAATCAGTGTCAGTTTCTAATTCTGCTGGCATGTAACTATATGTATATTTTTATACTAATAAATCCCACTACTCAAAGGTCAAAGCCACATAACATTGTGGAATGTAGTTTGATACTCTTTATTAGATGTGTAACACTGAAGGGTTTAGTGTTATTACAGTTCAACACAAGCAGGAAATGACATTAATAGGCTGTGATAATACATGTATGTGTTTGTTTGTTGATTAACCCACACCCAGCAGCATTCAAGATACATGATGGCGCTTTTTGATAATATGTGTCCTTGAAACATTTTAATGGCTGTGAAACAGATACAAAAGCTCATTTATTTCAGTGAGGTCATTTAAGGTTAAGGTAGTTATTCAGCAGATACTCGTAGACTTAATCGTAGGAATTTGAGGCCTACTGCCAAAATTATTTGTCTCACCCACACACTGATGACTTTTCACAGGGATATATGTTTTGTATATGTATATTTTGTGACATATCATTGGATGTCCTTAAATGTCAAGGTCATTCAATAGGAACTTAGACTGTTTATCAAATGTCAAATGACAAATATTTTCATTCAGGAAGTTTTGTTTGTGAGGTTGTTTTCATACAACCAAAGTCAATGTATATGGATGAAGGTCAAGGTCACTTAGTGGGCAGTGGACATGCCAAAAAGCTTTTGTATACAGACATCTTGAGCATCTATGATTTAATTTCAGTAAACTCTGTTTTCATCTCTCCTCAGTTCATAGTTCAAGGCTATTAAACTGGGAGTTTTACACATTTATTCTTAGGTCCTTGTGGTATTTATTATGCTTTCTATTTGAAAGATGTACTGTTGTGAAAATAGGTTAAGCATGGGCTGATAGCTGGGCGTGGGACGAGTATAGCTTGGTAGAGCTGATAGCTGGGCATGGGATGAGTATAGCTTGATAGAGCTAAGCATTGGATGAGTATAGCTTGATAGAGCTGAACATGGGAATGGGTATAGCTTGATAGAGCTGAGAACTGGGCATGGGATGAGTATAGCTTGATAGAGCTGAGCATGGGATGGGTATAGCTTGATAGAGCTGAGCATGGGAATGGGTATAGCTTGATAGAGCTGAGCATGGGAATGGGTATAGCTTGATAGAGCTGAACATGGGATGGGTATAGCTTGATAGAGCTGAGCATGGGAATGGGTATAGCTTGATAGAGCTGAGCATGGGAATGGGTATAGCTTGATAGAGCTGAGCATGGGAATGGGTATAGCTTGATAGAGCTGAGCAT